GCGAGACGCACATTCTAATGAAAGAGAAGTAACCAAGCGGTGCCATTTGCGCGGAGCAAATTCAATTATTCATTACAACCCTCTTCAGCCACCGAATCAATTATGAAATTTGTGAGGGCGCGAAAACTTTGAGACTAAATTAAGTTTTATGTATCAAATTTTTAAAACAATTTAAATCAATGAGATAAAATTGTAAGCATAAAAAAAAAGTGCTGGAAATGAAGATAATTTTTATTTTTAAAGTATCTATTTTTTAACCGATTTTTTTTTCTTGCCAAAATCTGAAAATATGACTTTCTTAACCTGATTTTGAATAATTTTAGTCGACATTTATCTCACAATTTTTAATATTTAATTTTAAGCCATAATTTCATGATTATTTTGTCTTTTATCGTTTAAAATCAACAATATATTGTTTATTTGCTGCAGAGTATAAATGAAAATAATTATTTTACAACTTGTTCAAAATTTTTTTGATTTGCATGTTTCCAAAAATTTTAACTTTTGCTTGCAATTATTATTTTCCCATTTTAATCGTCTTACGAGGAAGAAATAAACAGAACTTGTTATTTTTTTAAAGCAGTCTGTGTGAAAATTTTATGGCGGTGACGTTCCTCTTTATTTTACGGGCATACAAATTCGAGTGTAGCGAGTGGGTTGTTCTCTTGAATTATTTATTGGCACGAGTGGCTCATTGTTGGGCCTCATTGTCGTTGCAGGACGGAGAAATGCACGACGTCTATATCAGCACACAGGCAGGTATACATATGCAAGCGACATTATTACCAACACACACACGACGGACTTAATACCAGCGTGGCAGTTAGCGTCATTTATTATTTAGCTGCACGCCGAGTGCCATTTGCTAAGAGTTTCGCTTGGCAATCATGTGAAAGCGAGCACGTTTCGCTCCGAGCAGCCTTTCAGGTAAATAATTATTGCTCCGAGAGATTGCGGATCGGCCAAATTAATGCAGCCATTGTTTATCTAAAGAGAGAGAGAAATGGCTCCTCTTCTCCTGCTGACTGAGGAGTGCCGTTGCGAAAGAAAACTTGTGAATAAAAAATGAGTGACTTTTGTCCCGGGCGGCTTGCAAAAGGTTCCTTTTTGAAGGATGAAAGCTGAGAAATCTTTCTTTCCTTCTTTCTTTACCACTCGCAGATCTGCTTTCGGATTTGCAGCGAAAGTACATTTTCCGAGAGATTGAGCCAGGTGCGACGTAACGTGGAAGATACACATCAAGATTGTGCCCCGACCGAGTGTGAGAACGATAAAAAAGCAGAGAAGAGCAGTGCGGAGGAAACGCCACGTTTGTGAGGGAGAAAAATGATGGAAAAGCCTCGGAAAGCTGTTTCTTGGAATTTTTCCCACAAATAACAGAAGAAAATGGAATTTATTTTCACATTTGAAAAAGGAGGGGACTAAATTATTTGACCCAAATGTCAGGAAATTTTTCAAGTAAAATGATTTAACTACATAAATTTATAATACCTTTATTGGATATTTTCTTGAAGAGTATGAAAACAGTTCTGATAACGATTTTGAAGTGCATTCAGTTTGAAATTCTGCAATAGATGGAGTTATTTGTAAGTATTAATGCAATTAAAAGCTGAAGTTTTAAATTAGCAGGATTTTCTTTACCCTTAGCCTGCATTTTTCGGGTCAAAATTTCCTTTTTTGTTGAAAAATTTAAATTATAAAATTTATTCAGGTCCTCAAAAATGAATTTATAAGGCCAGATGGTGTGCGCAGTAAAAATTTTGGGTTCAAATAACTAAATTTTTTTTACGAAACCAAGCCAATTTTAATTTAATAATTGAGTTCATTTAAAACTCTTTTTGAAAAAGCACTCACTCTTATTTCATTCAAATCAGATTTAATGAAGAGCAGCTCTGCCAGTGAATGCGATGCAAATCATTACATTGGGCTGCAATTGAACGCTGCTCTCCCGCGGGCATCGTTCTTAATCAGCAAGTAACCCACTTTGCTGCACATGACGAGTCGATGCAAAAATGTTTCGATACAAAAGTGCACTCGATTTGCGCTCTCACGCTCGGCGTTCGTTAAAATTCTCTTGACAGAGAGAGGAGTGCTTGAAAAATCGATCGGCAAAGTAGTTTTGCAACTCGAGTTTTGACCTCCCAAGCTTTGTCCGCCCGCAGAGAGACAGAGAGAGAGCACCTCCGTTATCTCTCTAATTGCTTTATTGGTTGACATTCTGGGTCACCTGATTGCGGCGGCCGCCAAGAGACAAAGTCCATCCGTTTGTTCACAAGGGCAGAGCCACCTGATCAATGACATGCTTGATTTCAAATGAAACAACTAATATTAATTCAATTATTTGTAAATATCAAATAATAATTTTGATTCAGTTTTCTTTTGTAAAATGAGATGCATTCCTTTTCTGAGAGTATTGATTTACAGAAAAGCGAGCTAATTAACATCAAACATACCCTTTTTTACAACTACATGAAAATAACACCATTGATTTTGATTCCCCTTATAAAATTTGTCTGTATTGCGTTTTTGTGAGTGAATATTAATTTCAATAAAAGTTTCGTGAAAAAGAGAATCAACTGAATTAATTTTTACCATTCTTAGAAGCAATTATCAAAGTATTTAATTAATCCTGATTAGTAAAAAAATTTGAAATTAATTTTTCAATGTAAAACATTTTTAACAAAATTTGAAATTTCTTTGTAACGTCTTCTTGGCTTTTAATGAGCCTTAGACATCTGGATTCAACAATAGATAATCAACGTTTGTTCTCTCTAATGATGTGGTTATAAGAAGGAAAAGCAGCTGTAGATAAGTTACATCAGTACAAAAAAACTTAATTTTACATTGTGTTAGCAAACAATGAGAGATTAAAGGGAAATTCAATATCTCACTCCATCAATATTTAAAAATCCCATTATTTTTTTGTACCTCAAATTTTCTTCATTTTTTTCTATATAAAGTGGATTTTCAAATGGCTAAAAAAAAATTAAATAAAAAAATTTTCAAAATCATCTGGTTCTACGAAATCACCAATTCTTGCAACTTGGGTTGGAATTGGTAATTTATTTTTCCTTTTAATCCCTATAAAAAATTTCCGTGCAAAACCGTTCGTGGGGTCGGCATGAATTTTTCATCACATTTACTTTCCATATAATAAATCACGGTGGAAAATAAGCGAAGGAAAATAGCATTGACGGGGGCATCGATTGGCACGCGTGGAAGGTGAAAGAGCAAAGTGCTGACCTTTCCCGTCTTATCAATTGGCCGATTGAACTGGCGCGGACAAAGAGTGTTAACCGTGGCGTGAAATCTATTTTGACAGGAGATGATCGGCGCGAATTTGCGTTTCGGCAGCGGGGCGACGTCGAACGCGACCCACCACGGCACCACCAACAAGAACTTCCAGTGCCACCCCGGCGGCACCCTCGAGGCCGGAATCATCTTCAGCCTGTGCGCCCTCGGCATGGGGGCCAACTTGGCGCTGATGGCGCTCATCTTGGCCAAGCGACAACTGCGGCGGTGAGTCGGTCGGTCCCTCCCTCCCTGCGTGTGCACCCATCCTGAAACCCCCGCCCAAATATATAAATCCAGGCAGATAAACCGTCCGAACTAAACAACGCTCCAATTGGTATAAATATACCGAAATCGACGAAACGCGGCACGGCGGAAGAGGATCTAGATTGGGCCGAGTGACGCACGTTTGAATATAATCTCGGTGACAGTGAATGAGGCACGGATATCTTGCTAACAAATGGACCAGGCTTGGTTTGTGTGGCGGGGCCACGATTTATCTGTTTCGGGGAAAAAGGGTTGCTGAATTGCCCATTTGGATGTGGGACAACAGCAAGAGCTGATTAATCTGCTGAGCCATTCAATTACAATTCTATGACTTGCTTTGCTAGTTTATCAAATTGACCTCCATCAAGGGTGCTTTGTTTTCAATCTTGGCTCTGCAATCTGTTATTCGAGATAAATTTAAAAAGACCGTTTTTCAAATCCCGATAAGTTTCCCAGGAAGTCTAGAAAAATTTATGTTTGTAGGTCAAATCTGGCAGAGTTAAGTCTTCCGAACGGCAGCCGTCTTTTCATTTGAAGGGTAATGGCTTCCGTTTGGGACTCTTTAAAAGCTATTATCATCGTCACTTTTGGACGCAAAACAACATTTTGAAATCCCTCTCTAGGGAATAACAGCCAAAAGGGTTGGGTTGCATGAAACTTTTAGCAAAGCACTAGTAAAGTCGATTTGATAGACTGCTAAACTGTGATTGGGAAGTTTTCTTATTTTTAAGCAAGGGAAAGAAATTATTTGCTTTTTGTATCCTTACTTACTTTGTAAAATAATTACTCCGAGTAAAAACAAATAAAATTTTTTTCCATTTTTTTTTTTTTTTTTTTTTTTTAATCACTGGAAACTACAAAATTCAGTTTTAGTCAGTGGTAAGTGGTAGATATAGCATCCTTTTTCAAATATAAATAATTTAAGTTTTGCATTCTTTAGTTTTATATAAAAAAAAAAATTACACTTACCCTATTATATCCCGTGTGTTCTGTTAGGGTACTTTAATTTAACAAATAGTTTTCTAAATTCCGTCAGCTAAATTACTTTCCATTTTGGTACTTTCTAACACGTTCAGTATATATCATATGCGACCCAATTTTTTGTTCTCAAATTAGAATTTTGGGGGGGGGGGTGTCACATTCACTACTCTGACAAAACGCTGCTCTCAACGAGAAAAGCGAGCCTGGTACAATAAAAAAATCAAATTTCACGCCCAGTCGCACTTTCACCTACTCCCCGTGCCGTTTTTCTGCGATTTCAACCATATAACACACACACTGCCGCCAATCAATCAATACGCTGCACACCGCCGAAATTCGCACATCACATACACGTCATAAAACACCAAGGACCTCTCTGCTAGCAAGTTAGGCTGGAATTTTTTTGGTCTCGCTTGCATAAATTCACAAATCCGGACGAATATTTTATTTTATGGTCGCGAAAAATGCTTCTCTCGCGAGTTGCATACCAATGGATATCCATATCGATTCGCTGGCTGCAAAAAGTTTCCTTCGAGCTCGTTAGGCTTGGAGTGAATGGGGAGATAGATCTGACTCATCTGACTGACGGCAAGTGTAAAAACGACGAACGTGAGTGGCGGATAATTTAAGCAAGTTTCGCCTCTTTGAGGAGCTTCGCAGAGATGCGATACTGAGATGAGAGAACCTGCCGCTCGGGGCCTAATTTCGCGTCGTAACCGAATTATGGTAAGTGCTAAATTTAATCTGACGCCGCGCGTTGTATACTCTGGCTATGCAACAATAAAAGACCGCGCTGATCATTATTCAGAGGGGCGGTGCTTGAGGTTTACTGCGAGCCTCTTGTTTAAAGAGCCGTACTCCAATAAAGCTCTCATATTACACGGGGCAGTGAGCGAGCGAGACACAGAACCAACTTTGCTCAAACTTTTCGCAAAAAATGGCTCAAACAAAGCCAGCGGTCACGCTCGGTATTGAGCCGAGCTCAAGTTCAAACTTACTCGGACCACAAGTCACTTCCTTTATGGACCATTAATTCAATTATTTTAAATATAAAATACAAGCAGAGGGTAAAAAAAATCTAGCAACAAGATGACTCAAATAGGAACGTTTCATTATCATAAGCTAAAGCATCGGTATTGATGGGGGATTTAAATCAAAATTTCAATCTTCTTTTAAGATTCGTCTCATCTTAGGTTACCTATAAAATTAAGGCTGAATTTGAAAAGAAAAAGCAATTGTCACACAGACTCTTAGGGCATACTTTAAAATTAATTTTGATCAAATTTCCAAAACGATGATTTAACCCTAAGATTTTATTCAATTTTTCAACACGTTTAGGGAAAATTTTCTCAGTGCAGATAAAATATTAAGATAAACTAACTCCCAGTTCTTTGGGAATTATTTTTCTTTTTTTTAATTAAGATTAACAGGGGAGTGTTCCTTTCTTGGTAGAATTACATTATCATTTGTAAAAATAAACATTCTGCCTTTTGGAGACGATTTCCTGCCTTTGTCCTTTTTTTATTCTTTTACTGTAATAAATCTTACTTGAATTTCAGCCCCTAGCATCACTTCTTACAGAAGTTATTTCGGCTTTTAGAGGAGAATTAATTACTGTCTGACTGCTTTTAGATAAAAACGCCGTCATTGTGTCGAGGCGCGTGGGGGGCACAACAATTATGTAAGCTCGGGAGCACTGAGGCGAGCGACGCTACTCGCGTCAATACTGCTAGTGTGAAAACAGATAGAGTGAAATATGGCGACGCAAACTTGCAGGTGGATCGCGTAAGCACCGGGGCTTATGCATTTAAAGGGCTGGATTTGCATTTGCCGCACCGCGCGCGCCGGCTTAACAAGTTGACATTGTGCGTCGGAGCGGAACTGCTGCTCACAGGCCGCTGTCCCGTGACACGAAATTCTTCCTTCCGCCGCAAAATCTGTCCTTTTCTTATTTCATTTCCGCCCGCCGCAGACGAGAGGAATTTCTATTTGCATACATTAAAATGCTCCGGCTTTGTTGCAACGTCCCTGCGGCTCCGGAGTTTCCCCGAAAATAAAAGCGGAAAGTACTTTTCGAGACAAGATTTTATCCCCGGAATACAAAATTCTGGGAAAAAGAATATCTCTGCGCCCTAATTATAGCAAAAAAGAAGCTCTGGAATTAATTCTTGCATTAATTTTATGTCACTTTTCCCCTCGGAAATAAATTTAGGGCCAAACTGCATTCGCCTTCTGGAAAATAGAGACCGGCTGCGTCGGTTTGAATGTTTGATGTTTATGTGTTCTTATGCTGCACCATGTGACCAAAACCAACCACCTGTGTTGTCAAGTGTGACAGATATGAAAAAGCGCCACTAGACGCGTTTTGCTGCTGCTGCAGGTTGACACATGACATTTGTTTTTCTCTGCTTCTTACAGTTGGACTAACAACTGCTGGAAACCAATTGCGACAGAGGTAATGTGTGTAATTACAAGTCCCGCGAGGGAATTAGTAGGATCGCCACACGCGAAAACGCGCTTTGAAACCGATGCGAGCGAGGGCTCAGCGAAATTTGCAAATTAGTGTGGAAAAGCTTAAACTGTTTGTACACTTGAAACGCTCCGAATCTATGCATTAATTAGTTTAGACTTTCATAAATTTCAAATGAATTCTAATATAAAATGTTCTAATTAATACAAATTTCAGATAAATCCTTGATTTTTATTTCCATCTTCAAATATTAGGCAATCAAAAGCACTTTTTAAATTGATCAAAATGAAATTAAAGAACTAAACTTCATATTTTCTAGGAAATGTGCTTTTCTTTGAAGTTGGAAAACTGATGTAAATAAAAAGAAAACTAAAAACACATAAAACTGATTTATCCACAAATCACAATCATTGCCCTTCATTTTGCACTCTCTCAATTCGCGCGACCTATTTAATTAAATAACCGCCAAACTAAACCAAACTAAACTCCACACTGGCCGCCATTACTAAAAAGTTTAGCTAAAACCGAGACGATTGAGTGACCGAGGCTAATTGGCTGTTTTGTCCCCCGCAGGTGGTCGCAGGGGCTGTTGTTCCACCAGGCGATGGTCGACTGCGCGCGGGCCGCCATCCTGCTGCCCCTGGGAATGAGCATTTTGCGCTGCCAGCCCGTTAACAAGTGCTCGTTGGTCGAGACGGCCTTCCTGCTGCTCGTCACCGTTTCCACCGTCAACATGCTCACCACCGTCCTCAACGACTCGCCCGTCTTTCCCGGAGATGAGCAGGACGACGAGGTGAGTAGATAATTTTAATGCCGCGCTAATGAGAATCGATTCCTTTTTTTTTTTTATCAAATTCCAAGTGGTGGTCGGCAGGGGTGGTTAAAATTTCATGTGGGGGATGGAACGATTGCGTGTGTTGGTCGATGGCGCTCTGCCAATTAAAATTTCAAATGAGATCCGGTTTCATAACGTGTTCAATTTGATTGTGTGGGAAATTCAACCGGTTTCCCGCAAAATCAATGCCCTCAACTGAATTGATTGCTCACGTCAATTGGCATGGCTCATTATATTATTACACGAATGCAATTAATTATTCCAACTCCCAGGAGTATAGTTTATTTGCAGTAATGTTGGATTTATTACCATCACTTGAAAATATTTTCTGTTATTATCGTTGAATTCCTGAAAATAAGGCATGAATAGTGTTAATTTTTAAACTGTATTTGAAAACTTTTAAATTTATAAAGAAAATTTAAATTTAACAGAGGTTTTTAAAAGCAGATGATAATAGAGGAGAGGTGGTGTGAATTTTGTACCAAACAAAATTTTGAAAACATTATATAGAGTATTTAGTCTTAATCGATTCTCTATGACCTCAGCTTTCCAATTATATGTCATACTTATTACCAAGAATCCAATATGATTGGGGTGGTGTGGGGAGATTTTTTGAACAATGAAAGCGCTGGATTTTTATAATTGTCGATTTTTCAACAAATCTCACAGCAAACTTGAATTTTTTGTCATTAATTTTTATTTTATCTTACTTACAATTAGTGACCTCTGCTTTCTAATGGTGTAGAAATACCGAGATTTTAAATTTTCCTTGAAATTATATTTACATCTAAAGTAATAATTAATAATCAGTAATAATTAAAAATATCTACTCCAATAACTAAACACTATGATCAGTTTAACTTGTGATAAATATCAATTGATTCGAAAGAGGACGTTTTTGGCTGTGACGCATTCATTCCGATTAATTAAGAACTTTCCCTTTCCTGTCGGAAGCGCCCCTTTAGGCCACTGGTCCATTAATTAGATTCGTCACCTCTGAGTACGTGTGTTTGTTTCCGGAGCTGAATGAAATGGAGGCGAGCGAGCGCGGGCGGTTGGCGCGGCGAATCAACTCGGCGCCGACGGTGGCCCCGCTGCTAATGGATTCGCCACAATGCGTCCTGTTCGGCACATTCATGATCTGGTTCACAAGCATCACAATCAACCTGGGACCGACCTTTCTGAGCGGCGCGCTCGCCGCCAACTCGGAGGTCAACCACAACACGCCGAGCTGCCCCCTGGTGCACGGCCCCTTCCGCCACTACATTCTCAACGTGCTCTGGATCATCATCAACGTTCTGTGCGTCGCCCTCACCCTCTTCCACCTACACAAGCTGCACCGCGACCTCACCAAATCCAACATGCAGGTCAGACCTCTTTTTTTTAATCAAATCACATTGATTTTCTCTTGTCTGCGATTCACTTTTTTCGTCACTCTTTCCTTTCGACCGCATCAGCGTTTTTGTCCATTTCAATTGCGTTGTACCGCGCTATCGTTTTTACCCGCGGCAACTCGTCCAGCTCGGCGACAGATTTACGCATTTTTGTGTTGCCGACTTTTGTGGACCCTTTTTGCATCGGCGCCGGTCGTTAATCTCCAATCTTATTATAATCCATCAAAGACCCTTCACAGAGAAAGAAAGAAGGGATCTTGAAAGTTCACCAAAGATGATAGACATCCTCTGCGTCACTCACTAACGAGCTAATATGGCCAAAAGGATTTTACAGTCTCTTTTATATCAATCCCTTCTATCTGCATTGTTTATGAAGGTTTGGTTTCGCAACTTTTTGTGCATTGAATTATATTTTTACTTTGCAAATAAAAAATTAAAATTCATATTATTTAAAATTTTCAATTGAATAATTTCTTCCCAAATTAAGCGGCCTCAACTGTAATCTGAACCATAAGTCGATAGAAACACTTTGAAAAGCTGGAAGTTACTATATACTATTTTTAATTTTATATAATCAAAACCAGATTTGGTGTGCATAACAGGAAAAAGAGGAAGTAGTTGCTTTTACGTGAGTAAACTTTGGACTTGGGACGTGCCAAAAGTTGATACTTTGAGCGGGGTAGGAACTACGTCAAAGCTGCAGCAGCAGTTGCGCGGTTATATCGCCACTTTTTATTCCAAAACACGGTGTTTTCGGATAAGCCAGCGAGAACTTTCATCGGCTTTCCATCTGCGGAAAGCGGCTTTCGCACCTGCTGCTTTTATGTATTGCGCGCGGAGACAAAAAATAAAAACGGCGAAATCGAATTCCCTCCTGAGCCAATCTCGCTCTTTGACGCGCTAAAATGTGATTTCACGTGCGAGTGCGAAAATTGAAATGAAAAAAAAATTGCAGGCTGTGCGAGTGGCAGGTCTGGTGTCGACCATGATCAGCGTGACGGGCAGCAGCCAGGAAGCGGGCGGCGGCGGCGGCCAAGGCAGCGAGGACCACCGCCGCATTTGCAACTACATCCGGCGAATGGAGCGCGAGGGCGTGCAGCGGGTCAAGATGTTCATGGTCATCACGACCGCCTATGTCATCTTTTGGGGACCCCTTTTCCTCGTCACGCTGCTCCAGCCTGGACGCGACGCAAACGCGCTCAGCTATGAGGTGAGTTGCCTTGGAATTTCCACCAATTGTAAAATTAAAAAAGGCCAATTCTGAATTTTATTCAATGAAAAATTTATCAAAATATTAAAATAAAAATTAAACGGCAAACAGGAGTTGGATAAAGTGAATAATCGTCAATACGAGCCAACGAGAAAGAGGCTGGATTCCTACCAACCAAAGAAAAAGCATATTTTTTTTTACTAGCATTTGAAAAGATTTAAACCAAATTTAGCAGTCGAGTTCCACAAAACCATTTTTTTTCCATAGATATTAAGATATATTTGTTTCATTGAAATATTTTCAGAGAAAAGTGATTCTATATAAAAATTAAACTTTCTTGCTCATCCTATTTGATAAAAACTTTTGAACTTTTAGCCTTACAGGTTGCGAATTGTGCACACAGTGGAATTGTTGTTTTTTTCACCATTCGCAGTCGCTTTTTCTTTGTTCCCGAGGTAATAATCCCAATGCTGCTGCTGTGTTGCGTTTGTTGACACTCGCTGGATTTGCGCTTACACGGCTGTGCCTCTTTTGCGAACGTGTGCGAGCACACCAAAAGCTCGCACACGCTCTCTCGCCCGGATATTATATATAATTAAAAAGAGACGCGTGCGGGTTTGTATTATTTTTCTCTCTCGCAACGCTGCAAACAGTGCCTTGGAGCAATTTGCTTCGCCCATCAAATTATTGATCAGTCGAAATGAAGTTCAAATAAAAGCGCTTTTTTGCCTCGCCGCCGGCTGTTTACAGTACAAAGGAACGCGTTGGGCATGTAAAGCGCAACTAGCTCCTTAATTAAATGCTAACAGAAAAAAAAACGGTTTGGGGCCTGAGGCCTTTCGCTCGCTCAACTCGAAAGTAACAACTCTGCAGAAATTGGCCAGGAAAACAAACACATTATTTAAATTTTAATCAGAACAAAAACAATTTTGATTAATTTAAATAAATAGTTTGTTAATGAGCACAATATTATTATTTAAAACTTTGAAATTCATTTACATGAAGAAAACATAATTACTTTTATATAAATTAAAAAAAAAAATAGATCATAAATAGCTTAATTGCATTTTTGTATGTGAACAAAAGAGAGTCATCAATTTTTGCGCATTAAGGCATAATTTGTAGTAATTTTATAATAAATAATAATTCCAATTATAAGGTATAAGGTTAATAAAACTGTTTGCAACAAACAATTTTGCCTTACATGTTCAAATAAATAATAATAATAATAAATAAATAAGTCAGAATGAAAAAATTTGTATAATGAACATATTTGATGAGAGACACGAGACACGTAAAGAATCTGAGTCATTTTTACCAGCCTAAACACACAGTCCGAGACCGACCGCAAAAGCACAATCGATATTTGGACCCAAAGTGCAAACTCGTTCGGTCTGCGGTCGAACCGAATTTCGCCAAGTTTGATAATCGTGGCCGTTCTCTGCTTTCCGGCGTCGCAGATGACCCTGCACGTGGCCTACGTGCACGCCTTTGTCAACCCGAGTCTGTTCGTGGTGCTGCACCGCGGCCTGAGGCACGCCGCGATCGACGCGTGCTGCTGGTGGTGGCGCTGCGAGATGGTCTGGCTGCCCCCCGAGCCGCCCCCGTCAGAGCCCTCAACCCCGCTGCGACCCATGGCGCCCCAGCAGCTCATCCTACCCATCGTCGTAACGCAACAACCCACCTCGGCCAGCATGCACCACCAATCGGTCAGTATCAACAATAAATTACCTTAAAATTTCATAAAGCAAAAAACAGTTGAAATGATGCCAATCTATGATTTAAGCAAAATGTTCAAACCATTGGGATGTTCTTGTTAAATATTTGAGAAAATTTACATTTGAAGTGCTGAACTATTTTCAAACTCTCCATTTTTAATTAGATTTCAGACAAAGCTCGTAAAAAGAGAGAAAATTCCCGTTGTTGCAAAACTTCAAAGGATATTCTTGCAAAGTAGTTAAAAGTTAAGCAACGTGCTCGACATACAAGTCGTGCAGGTTGCATAACTCGATATTTCGCTCCGTTTCACGTCAAGTTCTCTGTAAGTTTTTTCAACGAATGATAGAATTCGATTTGAGCCGTCGCATGATCCAGATAACTTTTTGTAGTACGCGTGTGCGGAATTATTCGCACACTAACCGCGGCCTTTATCTGATCGTTTATGAGTTACGACACCGCACGAGCCGGGCCCAAAACCGCAAGCACCAGGCTCAACAGCTTTAGAAGTCGCGCGGAAATGCGACATTCCAGAGAACGAAAGGTCAACTTTGCAGTTTTTGGGGGAGCGAAATGCGACGCTTATCGTCTTATTAAAATTCCTGCAGGCGGCCGCGCCACTCCCCAGAGAGATAAAAATATAATAGACACAATCGCAAGAATGAGACGGGAAAAATTGAGTATTGACCCCGGGGCGTTGCATTACTATTCGGTTTCAGGGCGAGCACTGCGGTATGATGACGACCGAGATGAGCCTGTCAACTGACCCCTGGCAACCCTCGCCCGTCACACCGCAGAAAAAACTCTCGCAGCACAACCGCAGCATGCAGCAGCAGCGCTACCAGACCAATATTCCACCGGAATCGCCCCAGTTCTCCTCCGAGTAGCCGAATTTTGAATAAAAGAAATTTCCTCTCTAGAGCGCAAACCGGGCCCGTTTTACTTTGACGCCAATTTTAATTCCATTATCGCGTCGCGCAGATAAAAAATCTGCCGCCACGCCGGTCTAATGTCCTGTGAAAGGGGAGATTGTATTAAAATTCGTGGCGTTGCACGAATTTTCCGCCTCTGTCAAAATAAATAATCTTGCTTCGGACGGAAAGGAGGCTCTCGGAAGTGCCAATTCTGCAAAGTGCTTGCCGCTGACCCCCAACCAACCAACAAATGAGCTTTTGAATTTCCGGCCTGCATACAAACACACAAAATGTTAATTTCCGCCGACGAGTTTTTGTGCCAACTGAACAACCGACAATCACTGCTGCCGGCGCCGCTTTCAATCACTTTTCCGGCGCTGGCCTCTAATGTTAAAAAATGCTGCTTCCAACCCTTTACAATTCTAAATGGAACTAAAGTTTCTGCTTTTGACGAAACAGGAATTTTAATTCCACAATAATTAAAATGATTTGTGTCAACATGAAATTTTTATTCAACATATTATTCATAAATTAATAACAAAAAATTCAACCCTTTTAGAAGCACTTTCTAAAAAAATTCCCCAAACTGATCCAACTTTCCGTGCAACAAACTTCTTCCGAACTACCTGTGCCAAATTTCTTTTTTTTTTACTCGAGTGTCTGCGTCGACGCGGGTTGTTCTTTTTTTGAGGCGGAAAACGGCGCGCTGCCGGGCCCACTTTGCGCTCTACTTGGCACCAATTTCGCGTTAAGCATAATGAACTCACTCAATAAGGAAAGGCGGGGAGGCAGCCCGCAAGTCGCCGCAAGTGCCGAGTGACAACCAAGAGAAAGAGGCAAGATTATTGCCAATGTAGGACGGATTTAGGGTGGATAGGAACACCCTCTCAAAATTTTATGAGTTCAGAAACACTAAAATATGACGAAAAAAATACAAAAGAAAAACAAAATGTGAATCTCTCTTATACTAGTTGAACGGTGACCCCCCGTTTTTCTAGTGTCCTATTTCAACGATTCCTAAGCTATCGGCCTTTTTCAATTTGAAATTTTCTACAGATATTGTGGTTCCTATCAACTGTAACAGCGCACTATCGGAATAATAATTATATGCGATATGCGTAGGAAGTTTCGTCAAAACGGGCGGAATTTCATTCAGGATTTTTTTACGAGCGACGTTGGGGTGCGAAAACAGGCCATGAAATTTTGATTTGGCCTGATTGTGCGGCGAGCGGGACGGAGGGAAAAAAATAAAAAAGCTCTCGTCTATGATCCGGCTGATTTGGTGCGTATCTCGCCGCAGCTGGGCGCCGCCAAATGAAATCGTGCGCGGAATTTTTCGTTGTGTGCCGCAGAAAAAAAACGTGCCAGATGAAATGCACTCGGAATAATTTTACAAAACAAAAGCAGACTCTGTCTGTCTGTCGGTCCCAGTTGTGACATAAAGAGAGAGAAAAAAAGAAAACGCAAATCTCTTCTCTCGTCAGCTCGCACGCACGCCCGGCCGGGGAGTCAATTACGAATTAAAGAGAGTTGGTGTGAAAACAACACACTGCACCAGGCTGATTTCATTTCGGGCGCAATTTATCAGTTGGCGAGTCTTTTTAATTAGCAAATTGGCCGCGACCAGGGACATTCATTCGTCGATGCAGGTTTTATAACACAGGGGGAGGAAAACCTCACTTTTCCGGATTAGACTGGGGATAATATGGATTTGCAGCAGTGCTCTCAGCAGGATTAAATCCGGATTCAGTGAGATTGGAATAATATCGATTCACAAAATACAGTAGAAATTTTCGCCACTTAAAAAAAAAATTTGTTTTGGATCATCGAATGTTGTTAAAAGGAAGCTATTTGGCACACAAACAAAAATTATGCCATTAACAGAAGACTTCTGAACATTTTTATGCTGATTATGTCATAAGCAATTATTTTTTAACATCATTTCCAATGAGACATACTCGTTTATCTATTTATTTATTCACTTGCGGAGAGTGGAATTTTTTAAAATCAACATTGCCTCTTTTTGGGGATTTCTTTTCAAATCGGATTTGCTAAAATTGATTATTATGTCAAATCATCTTAAATGGGTAAGGAAATTAACAGGTTGCTTGGCTTAAACAAATAAATTGCTCACTATCAGTATGGATACGACGTTTCTCATAAACTTTCATTTGCTAAATTATTTAACTAAACAATTTTATCATAAAACTAATTAACTTCAGATGAAACTTATGTAAAAATGTCCTATTTTAATACTTTTTAGTAGGTCGAGAATAAATACAAGCTGCAATTTCTTTTGAATTCATAAATATTCAGCAGTGGAAATCAAAGAGATTGCCTTCCGCCGTCGGTCTGATCGTTAACCACATCTCATCTGCATACTCTGCAAACTCATTTCCGTTGCTGAGATTTCTTTCTATATCAACTCTTATTTCCATTTTTGGCGACTCACGTGAAAAGCTCTCTATTTTTCAGCGAAAAGACTCGCCAGCACTATTTTTTCGTTCCTCCCTAGTTCATACTAGCTCGCAGCAATAAGTACATAAAATAGAAGACGTCATGTGTTCATGTAATCTATTTTCACTCCCGCACGCTACGAGATAATGGAAAACCGCGCTTTGCACAAACCCAGCAGCAGTCGCGTTGCATGCTGCGGAAAGAAAGAAAGAAAGAAAGAAAGTAAAACCATTTTTTTTCTCTCCGTTGTGTTAGACACAAAACATATAATAAGAAACGCACGGAATGTTTTTGTCCAGAAGTGTCCAATGTCGGATTTTTTCGAGAATAGATATCGAAGGATGCGATATTAAATGTGTCAAACTTGATTGATGCCCTCTTGTTGCTGTGTTGTGAAAACTTTTTTCATTAAGTGTGTAGAGAGAGTTGCCGGCAAGCCACTCGCGAAACTCGTTCAACGTGCACTTTATTTGAATGGAGAGTTGTGTGTAGTTAGCTGGCAGATCTAATCGATATTTGTAATCACGATAAATCCCAGACTTTGAATCACGCATGAGTGTACATTCCTTAGGGAAAGCCGATTCTTCCGACCTTTTCACCTATTTTTGACTAAGCAATACTGAATGTCACAAGAAAATTATATATCCACGGTTTCATTTGGAAACGTCGTTTATTAAAATAATATATATGAATGTTCAATAAAAACTATTGGAAATTCCAAAATTGGAGTTTGATTTGCTTCCTCGTCTAGCCCAGTCTCAGAAAATTAATTAACCATCGGAACAAATGAATTTATTTCTACTATTATAAAATATGTATAATTTGTTTGAATTAATCGTAAAAATCTAGTTATCTGTTCAAATACAATAATTTAACACCATTCAGTTAATTAAGCAAATTAAGTAGAATTCAAATTAAATAAGAAAACATCAACGGGCAAAACAACTTATTAAAATCCATTAGAAAATATTTTATGCATTTACATTGCGTTTCACGAAATTAATATTGGACAATGAAGACCATGAATTAATATAGGAAAACACTTATAATCCTTGTCTTCATTAAAAAGATATTAAAGGGCAAAATTTGCTCAAGTTTTGCGTTCACCTATAACAAAGCTCGACCATCGTAGCAGTCTGGCCAAATTTTAAAGCCCCCATGCCAAAGTTATATCAGCAAACTTTGGCTCGTTTATTAGCGCCAACAACCCGCTTGCAGTCAGCCAGCATTTCTGGCGCCGAGATCAGAATCTGCGACAAAGGAATTTACGCTGCACTCGATTTTTCCAATTAAAGTGGAGAAGAGGAATTACTGCGGCGAGTTCATCGAGATCCGATACACACCACGTGTAATAAAGCAGCAGATGTTATTTATTGCACGAATCGATTCTGCTGAAAGCCGCGGCGGCGAAGCATCGACATCCGATAATCAGAAAATGATAAACTTTACGCCCATGTTTATAGGTACGTAATGCATATGCGAAGGGTCTGTTTGAGCCGATTCAGCGCTATTAGGGTTGTATCTCATTGCCAGATGACAATCCCTTTTGTCTCCTTCCTTACGTTGGAGAGGATTTTTGCAGAGTATGAATTAATTATCAAACTTGGAGAAGGAGGAGTTTTAATTTTCCGCACGAGAAGAGTCAGCCCTTTTTGTTCGGCGTTGAAAGTTGCGCGTGAAAATGAGAACCGCTTCAATGTAATGAAATTTTCCTTGCGAATTTTATTCAATAACCCTTTCTAAAGAGACGTTGTCTTCAAGGAAATTGCACTTGAACAATTTCTCCTATCATTCTTGAAGGCTGGTTAAAAATCTCTAAGTATAAATTGGAAGATAATCTTCAAGATAATTTTGTGTAAAAACATCAAAATTCTATTTTTAAATTAGAATCTATTACAGAAAGATTATAAATTTTTCTTCCCATCAACGATTCAACTTTTATAATTTTTAATTAACGTTTCAATGATTTTTAATTATTTTTTTAGAACCACAAAGGACGATCAAGGAACTGTTTTGAGTGGAAATTTAACCTCAACTGTAACATTATTTAAAGCAGTTTAAATTCTCCCGAATTTTGCACCACTTTCATGGAGTATAATTTCAGATTTATCGCATCACATTTGGCGAGAATTAATGTACGCAATTATCGCACAAGGAAGAAGTCATAAACAGTCACAAATTCTCAGCGTTCTCTCGCCCGAATGAAATTGTAAATTGCTCTTTTAAGCTCTGTGTTGAGCCGCCAACTTATTCCCGCCCGCATTTCTGGCAACGTGACAAATAATACTTTCCCTCCCAACTTTAATCTCGGCTCCCTAAACTTTTCACAGGTCGTTCCGCAGCGCTATCAATATCCCTAAGACCCGCGTTCAAATTTCAAGCAAAAAAAGTATTTGTCCTACCTGCTCGAAGCCGCCGAGAATCTCCGTCGTGTCCATCGAGGAATTCATGGCAAGCACTTTCAAGGGCTGGCCGGTGAGCGCCGCCAGAAGTGAAACGGCGCTGCTTTTTCCACTGCCCGCCTTTCCGACCTGTGGTGGAAAATGATTTTCTTGTAGATGAGTCATAAATCTTGGCAGATAAAAAGTTGCTCGTGAGCTATTTTAATATTCGACGAGCACCGCTTTTACGGTTAGGCAGTAAAAATGGTATGTGTATAAAAATTGATTAATAAAACCTCCATTAGAAAAAAGATGTATGGCGTACTTTCTTTTTTGACTTGCAACCGCAAACATTTTTCACTTCACCCACACAAGTCCCAAAAAGCGGCGCAATAACTCATTTGCAGCGCGCCGCAGCTGAGGATGACACTCATACTCAGAGAGAATTTGCCAAAAGAGCCATTACTTTTGCCCGCTTAACACTAACAACCCCATCCTCCAGTGTGAGAAAGAAACAAGAAAAATTTCTCACCAAAATCGAGAGCCACTTCTGATGGACGCAGACGGCCAACGAATGCAGGGTTTGGTAAGAGGAACGCAGAAGGAGTAACGATTCGTTGCCCTGGCAGTTGCCACGGGCCAGGGTCACACCTCCGAAGGTAACATGGTCTTCGCAGACTCTCACCACAGGTTGGCCTTTGGGCACAGGCCATTTGGAACCCACTTCTTCTTCATAAACTTCCATCATCTGAAAAAATTTGCTTAATGATAAATTTAAAATAAACTTATTGATGACTATTCTTTCAATGTAATTCTGCATCAATAATAAATTAAAATGTAGATTCTAAAAAAGAGGCTAAATTCCCCATTTTATTTGTTTAGAGTGGAGTAGATAGTAAGTTTCATTTAAATTAAATGACCCTTCTATTTCAATTAATTTAATTGCTATTTTTTTTTAATTTACCCTTAGGAAATCTTCCTCATTTCTCATTCTCCGGAAGTAAACCAAGTCAGCTGCGCCACCGGGTCCAATGCTACATTGACCACCTTCTTTGGCAGCCAGAGCCCAGCGGGACAAGTCTCTAAGGTTCATGTCCCAAGGCCCCCCACTGAAACCCCAAAGCCGCAATTCTGCAGTTTCTTTTGAAACTCTGTGAGTAAAGGAAACCATGCCCTTGAGAAGTTCCGAGGGAAGCTCAGGGAACAAGGACTGGGCAATGAAATGGAGGTCTGCAGCAGTCAGAGCTTCAATGTAAACCTATTTAAATCAAACAATAATTGACTTGAATTTTGTAAAAAAAAATGTTTCATCAAACCTCAGTGAATCTGTTCAGGAAAGACTTTGGAAGGCCTCGACGAGCGCCACCTTGTCTCTGAGGGTTTTGACAGGCAAAGATCCTGGTGGTCTTTGCATTGACCTTAAAGGACCGACCTATTTCAGGGATGAAAACCTCCCCTCTGTGGTCCAAACAGGCGTTCAGGGCTTCGAGCACTGATTGAGACGCCAGATTTAACTAAAAGGCAAAATTTGATCAATTATATTATAAGAAGTAAAATTTATCACCTCGTCCAAAACAATCCAGTCCCCAGCTTTCAGAGCTTGCAAAAATGGACCGTCTCTCCAAGCGAACTGACCACCCACTCCTCCCTCAACAGGCAAATCAGCTCCGAACAAATCAGATGCATCCTTAGTAAAAATGAAATATCAAAATATTATGTAAAAAAGAAAAGCTATTTTATTTACTGTTTGATCAGAAAGGTTGATTCGAGTCAGTGAGTATCCAGCTGCCTTGGACAAGGCATGAATTAGATTAGTTTTGCCAACACCAGGACTTCCTTCCAATAAGACTGGTTTGCTCAGCTGAAGAGCTCGTAAAAGTCTGATAACGCTACTGCTGGTGGTTGGAGCATCAAAAAGAAACTCATTTGGAAAGTCTGTTATATCCACAGGGCCTAAATAAACAAAATTATGAATGAAACAAGAAGTAAAAATGCATAGTTAACACCTTTTGGAATGAAAAATGGCTCTAATCCTATTTTTTGAGCATCCATAACAACCTTCCCTATCTTGTCCTGAATGGGACTGTACAACAGTGGAGCTCCCATTACTGTTATGATTTGATCTTCAAGAAAACAAATTGCTTCAAGTCTTGCTTTACGAATACCCGAGGAGCTAAAAATAGATTCAAAATTATTAACATATGCTTATAAGAAAATGATTTAGAGTATGTACCTGGCATTTGCAGTGAGACCCGAGCCTAGACTGTCTAGAAAGGTTAAACAGGCGCCATGGACGTAGGCAGATCCGACGTCCATGACCGTCAGTTGATCTAGTTTGTTATTTTCAGCAACAGTGTTGATGAAATGAATCCAAGTCAGCAAATCTCTGACACTGAATGTTAATCTTGACCCCAGCTCTGTTTTCTGGAGCCAGTCAATGAAGTCGGCAGCACACCTGCCAATTCCTGAAGTGCAGTCCTCTTGATTTCCAAAATTCAGGCCTGATCGTAGTGATTTTTCAGCAACAGCAATTCTGTCTGACCTGGCTTCGCAGCCTTCGCACCAAATTTCTGTCAGTCTATTCCTTAAGGCAGGTGACAATTCCTTCTTGCCAAAGTCACCGCCTGGATTCATTGTGGCGACAAACTGGAATCCCATCTCAGCTGTCACCACGTCTCCACCCTTTTCCGCCAAAAGGAGAGTCTGTTCAGGTTCTAATGATGACGAAGGATTAAATTTAATGTTTTTTCTTTCACACAACTTCCTTACCTAGCAAAGAGTTCAATCTCTCCAAGACACTGTCATCTGCAAGAGAAATCTCATCGGCCAGAAACCAGTCAGCAGACACCATCGACTGAACCAGGGGGCCATCAACCCATTCGAAAAGCTTTCCATCACTGTCTTCGTGGTTACGAACTGGCCTCAAACTGCCTAGAAAATCAGCAGCTTCTGTGTGCATGTGGCAGTTGACGTAGAAAAGAACCTTTCCTCTCAAGGCTGCTAATAATTGGCAGACGGAAGTTTTTCCACAGCCAGTTTCTCCAACAAGCAAAATAGGCTCCTTGAATTGCACAGCTTTACCTATAACCAAGATTTAAAATAACTGTACAGAGAAAACAAAGTTATTTGTTGAACTAACCAACAAGGACTGCCAGTCTTCTCATGTTGAAAGTCCAAACAATGTGTTCAAATCCAGAGACAGAGGCATTAATCACATCTTCCAAAATTTTCTTGGTGGTATTAGAAGTTTCTGAATTCACTAAATTAAGTATATTATAGAGTGAAAATTAATTTTATAAATTATTAAAAAATGTTTACAAGAGAAAAGTCTGTCAGGAGACATTTTGCATTTAAAGTGTTTCTGCAAAGTTTCCTCAATGATCAGTGTCTCCTCCTGTCTGCGAACTCGACCTGCCAGGACAAGGTAGCCTTTTCCGAAAGGAATTAGTTAAGTTATAAAACATTTAAATTTTGTAATACCTTCGTCAGCTAAGTGTTGCTCCCAGTTGTGGTTGCCAGAGTTATCAACCTTTGCTAGACGGTATCTCTCGCCCCACCTAAACAAGTCCCTCAGAGTCATAAACCCCTGTTTTCCAGCGAAGGCAGCACTTTCTCTGCGCCGGAGCTGCAGCGAATTCATGACAGCCACCATTTTCTTAGCATATGAGGCAGGGAGTTCACACCTCTGCTGCAGGATGGTTTCCAGCTCAGAAGAGGGAAATTCGCTGAAATGCAGCTCGACAAATCTATTTCTGAATGCCCGGGACAGGAGCTATTAAAATAAAATTGAGAACATTGTCAAAAAAAAAACACACACATTTTTATCTTGCCTTTCTTCCACCGTAGAGTCCAGGTGGGTTTTGAGTTGCGAACAGCATGAATCGTGGATGAGCTTTGATCAGAGTCTGTGTTTCGGGAATAAAAAGCTCTCTGTTGTCATCAAGCACTCTGTTCAGCGCCTCTAACACATCAGAAGGGGCCAAGTTAAGCTCGTCCAAGATGACCCAGTAGCCGTTCCGCATGGCCTCCACTAAGGCACCTTCCTTGAAGGTCAGGGCGCCATCACTGTCTGCACTGTACTGGCCCAGGTACTCCTGCAAGTCTGTGTGTTCGTGGTTGTTGATTCGTAAGCACTTGTGGCCAGTCACACTTGCCAGGTATGTGATCAGACTGGTTTTGCCCACAGAGGTTTCACCCTGCAGCAAAACAGGAGCCTGGTCCAGTGAGACGGCTCGAGCCAGATCTCGGAGGTGATGACGAACACAGGGCGTCAAAATGTACTGAAGAAAGAAATTCAGATTTTGGAAAAACAAAACTGGTTTTTAGTCTTACATTTTCTGGCACTTTAGGTTCCAGTCGTCCCTGCTGCACCCAGAATCCCTCGATGTTAATAAAATCTCCTCCTTCTGGTTTGGGTAGGGGCTTTTTCAAAACACTGGAAGCATTTTTGCCAAGAATGGATTGAATGATCAGCTTCTGCACGGCTTCCTGGGATATTTTATCCAGCTGGGTAAGGAAACTGAGGCTGAATGATTCCATCAATGATCTGGAAACTTGTCCACAAGGGTTTTTGGCAGCAGTGGACAGGGCTCGGCATAATGTCCTCAAACTTTAAAGAAAATCTCTTAAATTTCCATATTAAATATTTATTTTCTTAAATACCTGTAGTGAGGTTTGTGCCCAGTGCCAGAGGCCAGGGTTTTCAATGCCTCAGTTTTAAGTTTTAAATAAAGATTGACTAAGTTTCCCAGCTCGGAAGGACTGAGCCCTTGGCCACTCAGGTAGCAACCAGTCAGTTGGATCAAATCGCTTTTCTTCATTAACTCGTCAACATAGAATTCAGTGAATCTGGAATTATTAAATAAGTAATAAGTAAAATTTAAAAATTTTCTTTAATTTTCACCTATTTCTCAATCCAGGTGGCAGGTCCTTTTTGCCTACATCTGTGGCTGGGTTCATGCAAGCAAACAATCTGAACTCTGGATTTCTCTTGACAGGTTTATCATCACCCCTTTCCAGGAGATGAAGAGAACCATGGTTGCCTTCTAGCAAGCCTGACAGGCACTGCAGAGTTTCTGCTGTGGCCAGATTGATCTCATCCAGCAAGACCCATCCACCTTCTTGAACAGCTTTCACCTATTTGTTCCATAATAAAATATATAAACTTTTGCAAGCAAAATTTTATTACCAAAGTTCCCTCCACAAATGAAAATGCCAGAGAGGATTGTCCAGATTTGAGTTGAGACTCAAGTCGGTCAAGTTTGAAGTCAAGATTTTTCCAACTTTCTTTGTCACTTTCTGAGAGTGGTTTCTTGAGGGCCGAGTTCAATGTGTGGCGCATGAGAGTGGTTAGGGTGTCCCAGCGGCGTCCAGAAAAACAAGACTAAAAATTAAATATAGTTAAAAAATCATAACATTCTAAATTTTCTAACAGCAATGTGGTCCAAGAACTTGGCGTTTTTCACTCTGTCAAAGGTTTTAGAGAAGAGAGTCTCAAATTCAAGGCGCACTGGCGCCACAGCCATTTTCAAATCGACAGGCTTGTAGCCTCCGAGCAGATCAGCACTGTCACTATGCTGGTTCATGTTGACGACTTGCAGCTTCCTGCCAGCTTTCTGTGCCAAGAGCTGGATGGTTGCTGTTTTTCCAGTGCCCGTCTCTCCAACGAGCAGGACAGGCTCTCCCTGTTCAATGCAACAGGCCACCCTCTCCAGCAAACAACTCGCAGAATGAGTCAGTGAGTATGTGCTTTTCACACTGAGCAAGAGTTGTTTTAAATTAATAAATAAAATAAAGGCCAGAATAACTCACTCAATTTTCGCAGCCACATTTTGGATGCAAGAAACTTTGCCCCTGCCAGCAATGAACTTAGATGGGGTTGATTTGATGTGTGGCTTGTACTCTTTGCAGAAGTAATCTGCCTTGGTTCGGACAATTCCCAATCTGTCAGCTGCAGCAGATGCCAGTCTCAAGCGTTCCTCTATGCAGAATTTTTTTAAATTTGATTAAATTTAAACTTGAAAATATACCATGAGAAGGAGCTGCACACGAGAAAATATCAATGGCATCCTGCAGAATCTTCAAGGCACACTCTGGTGATCCTTCTTTGAAATCAATCGAAGCTCGTGCACACCATTTCAACAAATCTCTGAAAATTTATGATTTAAATTGTATGCAAACTTTCCATTAATAGAGGTACCTTGTAGAAATTAGCCTTCCTGCTAAGTTGGCTGCTTTCATTTCAGGGGCCAAGTCCATTCCACTGACAACAGTCATTGGCTGAGACTCAAGGGCCATCGAGTGACTGCCTTTGGAGAAAACTAAGAACACGTCTAATAGTCGAGACACTACAGTCTCTAGAGCTGGGTACTAATGATGAAATAAATTAATTTGATTAATATTTTTATAAATAACATACTTTTTGCTTGATGACTGTTTCAAGTTCGTGTCTCGCAAGAGGCTCAACGTTAACCTGCATCCACATTTTGTCCAAAATGCTTGCAGTAGATTGTAGACCACCAGAACTAGTCAACCTAAAATAAAAAATCAATTGTATATTTACTTGAAAATAATATTGCAAATTTTATTTTATAAATAAAAACAACGACCAATTGGAAGAATGAAGTTTTATTAATTTAAATGGAATAAAAATTAATAAAAAAAAAATATAAGTTACAAGAATAATTTTGTGGTTGCACTTCTAGATATTAAAATCTAATTTTCCTAACCTTCTAGTCGTAAAAAGTTGAAATGTTGAGGCAGCTTGCACACAGTCTCTGTAGCCAGGAACAGCCAGCTTCCCAGTTTCGAGAAGAGCTGCGAGCACAGAAATCACATCCGTGGATGCGCAATCGATGTCTTCAAGAATCAACCAGGCGCCTTTCTCAACAGCCTTGTGGAAATTTTGGTTTTAAATTCTTAATTTCTCTAACAAATAAACAATACCTGGGTCAGGATTCCAGGTCTCCAGACAAATTCTCCCGGCACTTCTGAGCACCTATAGCCACCGAGCAGCATTTTGCTGTCAGTCTCTTCACCCAGCTGGACAATCATGAGGTCCGGTGGTCCACGTCTGCCCGTCATCATAGCCAGGTGTTCCACCAGTGCAGTTTTCCCACACCCCACTGGACCCTGGAGCAAGACGCTCTGTCCTGCAGTGACCGCAACGGCCAAACTGCGAAGATTGGCCTTTGTTGAGGGCACCATCACCAGGGTCTTCTCACCGTCCAATTTAAGGTTATTCAACAGGGTTTGCAGCATCACACCTGATACGCAAACCACCCCTGGACAGCACTCACTAATTAATTCCAAAGCTGCTTCCAAATCTAAGGACGGATGAATAACTATAATTTAAATTGAAAAAATTAATGAATTAAAATGTACCTGGATGGTATGCATTTGAAAACTCCAGGCCTTTGCTAAGCTCTGAATATTTCAGAAGGTTTTCCATCATGTCTGTCTCAGAAAAACAAGTGCCAATTTTAATTTTATCCTTCTCCGACATCCCGAGAGCCAACTGGATGCATCGACTGGCAAGCCTAAGAGAAGGTATAAACAAGGTAAGGGTAAATTTTTATGTTTTAATTATCAGACTTTTACCATTGACACTGGGAATCTCCTTGAGTTAGTTTCCCTATCAACTGAGACCAGTTCCACAAACTGGCAAAAAAGGAAGGGTCTGCTTTTAGCAGGGAATGAACTGATTCCAACGTTGTCAAAGGGTTTTTGCATTTCTTTTTTGGATCTGGTGGGCCGCTGGAAGGTGTCTCTTCAAAGGGCCCATGTGTTTGAAGCAATTTATCCTTGGCAAATCTAAACAAAAAAATTAGTCGAATTTTCGGGCCATTAAATTAAAATAGCACCTCTTTGCGTCAGTGTTCAGTCCAGCCACATTTGCCAAAATGAGTACTTTCTTTTCGTCCCACTTGGGATTTGTCAGGGCCCAGGATAATACTGGAAGCACCAGCTGAGGGTACTTTTTGGCAATGACGGCCGAACGCTCCGGCTGAGAGACGATGGCCTCGACCAAGACGTTGAGCAGCTTCTTGCACGTCTTTTTGTCCCATGTCTATAAAATTCAAAATTTTGTAAATAATTGAAGTTAAAAACAGGATAGTGCAAACCTTCAAATTTACTAGGCGAGAAAACTGAGGACTCAGATTTTTCCAGAGAACGTCGGACTGGAGATCCTCCAGAAGGGCGTGGAAAAAGCCCGATGGATTTTCAGACATCTCGTTTGTATTATGTCATAATCACGCTCACATATATAGATGATAATTCATGTCCTTAAACTATTGAAATGATCTTTAAATTGAAACAGCAAATGCCATGCTAAAAAATATTATGAAAACATGTTGTTGTTTTGATGTTTTACATTGACTTTCAAAAAAGGTTAATTGATCCAACAACGGAAAAATGTAGTTGTAACAGATGCTTTAAAAAACTACCTGGAATCTCAGTACAGTCGGAAAATAGTGATAACACTTGTTTTGCACAAAATCTCAATAAAAATTGCCGGTAAAAAAATTACAGAGTGCACGAAAGCAGCAGCACCCACCATGCGTTTTCCATGCGTTCACTGGTCACGTGACTTTTTCCCGTTGTCATTATTTAAATGCAGCATAGATGGCACTTGAGTCAAAGCTTTTCAATTTTGCGTCGGCAGATGGCAGGAGCTCCAAGGCTGCTCGTGATTTCACCTCCTAAAAATTTATTAGTGATCACCAAGGATCCTTGGTGATCACAAATAAACACAAGTCGGTTACCTAACTTACTTATTATTTTCAAGTCGAAGGTTGGAGTTCACTGGCAGCTTTTCCCATGAAATAGCGCACCATCGGGCCACGGTTGCTTGTTTGTTGAGAAAGTGGCCTCGAACTCAACAGCATGACGACGCACTCGTCCATTTGTCAAATGGTAAGAGCAAAATAAATTATATTGTTTTGACCACTGCGTATGTACGTACATTCCGCGCCCACTTTTTGGACACTCAAATTTCCCTTTTGCTCCAGTTAGAGGAGAAGATCACCGCGAGGAAGATGCGGTGCCTGGTGCGCGAATTCGGCTCGCTGCCGTCGACCAACAGAGCGCTCGTCTGGAGGTTTCTGCTGCGAACGCCCCAAAATCACTCCAGCTTCTGTGCCTTGGTAACGAAAGCTCTCGAACTGGACCTGCCCGAAGACTGGGTCAAGTGGACCAAAAGGCAGAACCTCCGACCTTTCACAGAATCTCAGTTCACCAGGCAAGAATAAATAAATATCCTTGATTTAGAAAAAATACTATTTCATTAATTTTGTTTGCAGGGCCTTGAAATGGTTGATTGCTTGGAGTCCAGAACTGACTTGTTTAGACTTCCTGCCTCAATTTGTTCTCCCTTTTGCCTCCGTTCTTGGTGGCGACCCGATCTCAAGCTTTGAAGTCATCGTGACTGCAATAAGTAAGCCATTAAATCAAATTGGAAAAATAAGTCGCAATTTGTTTAAGGAGAACAATTTTATTTACAAATGTACAAGTAGGATATTTTCTGATTTAAAGCTCATATTTTAAGAGGGCACATGTTTTGGTTATTATTGACCTAAACCAATAATAATGTTCAATTCTTCCCACATCTTACCCTCTGAATTAAGGGAGGTGTTCAAATCTTAATTTAATTTGGTCGAAAAATTTCACGTCGTATTATTTGAAGCATTAAAATCAGAATTTTGAGAAGTCATTTAAATTCTACAAATTATTGCACGCCGCATGCCTGCATAGCTAGTGATTTTACTTACTGTTTCCAAGTAATAATTATTTAGTTAAATTTGAATTAAATCAAAATTAAATAATTATGGTAGCATAATTATGTATGTTATTAGCCATATTCATACTGACTTTTGGAAGTTTCCAAACATGCCTTCTACCTCTTATAATTTTTTATTTGCGAATTTTCGCTCATTTTAACAATTTAAGATAATTACCAATGCTCCTAAGTCACCTTTTACACTTGAATAAACTCTTGCAATAAGCGGCAATAAGTTTAACATAATAGTGGTGTGGCCTTTACCGACCCACAATAAATTTTGTAAGACAAAAGCTTATGTCTCCTTAACCAATGTTAATTTTAGCCATCTGAATGAAGTTGTCTTTAAATATTTTCAATAAATTTTCAGGAAACTGGGGCGTCCTTTGGTTAGAAATGTGCTCGGAGCCGCCCTTTCAGACAATGACTCTGATAGAAGAGTTGCTGGAGAAATTTGGTCCTGGTGCCTTGGAAATTCTGAAGAGGAATTCTGTCAGTATTGTGTCATATGCGTGGCCTCTGTTGGACACGGGATTCTCGGCGGTGCTGAAGGAGAAAGACTGGCGCCTCTTGTGGGACCACCTGACCTGCAACCGACTGGCCCTCTATGTGTCTGCTGCGGTTGCCTTCGTCTGCTGCACCGAGTCGACCCTCAGGCAGGCCGCGGCGCTTTCACTTGACCTAAAAGTATGCCTTGTTTGTTTCTCAATTTTGTGAAATTTATGCTTTCGTCCAGGGTCTCTTTTTGGAGCAGCAGGAAGTGGATATGAAAGCGTTCCTAAGGAAAAGCTACGAGATCTACGACTCTGTGTCCAACTGGCCCGCCCACTTGACCTGTGAGCTGGTCGTCTTGCCCACTGGACAATATCCTAGTCTTGAACAGTTCATGAACATTAAACCTGAAGCTCGCAAACATTCTCCAAAGAGTGAAAAAGACTGCCAGTCAAGTGACGAGACTGATGCGTTGACAACCACCGAGGTGCAGGAAAAGGGTGTGTATTATGAGAATTATTTTTTTGAAAACTAGTTAAATATTTTTTAAGGGCTTATTGAGAATATTTTTATAAATAGAGATTTTTAAGTTTTTCTTTTACGAATTATCAAAACCAGAAAAATTATTCAACTTAACCCCTGAAGTTATTTACAAGTAGGCCAACTCTGATAATATGATTATTTTGTTAAACTGATCAAATTGTTATCATTCTTTAATGAGGTTGAGTTGCAAAAGATAATTTAAAACAAAATCAGCCTGTTTAAATCTTCATTGTTTTTAGTATTATGGTCTTTAATCGCATAATTCTTAATTTTTTGAGCAAGTTGGGATTTGTATTTTGTGTAAAACTCCAATAATTTCTCACATTTAACATTGAAACAAATTTTATCTAAGATCTAAAACAAACCTTTTTAAACAAAAGCAATTCAATGTGACCACCAGACTACTTTTTTTAAGCACGCATGACGCACCTAAAATTTAAAAATATTCAAATTTCCTTGACGTTTCATTTTGTTTCTTATTATGGAATAATGAATTCCTAAGAAAAAAATTTTAAAGGCGTTTAGCAGCGTGAAGATGTGCTTGAATTCAATTTAACTTGAACCACCTCTCAAAGTTGTCTGACTGATAAGATTCAAGTCCCATATTAAGCATGTTCATACATGTGATGTTAATTTTTTGTTTCTGCCAATATGTACACTCGATTTGTGCTGGAAAAATCCCGATTTTAAATCATAATATGTTTATAGATTATATTATTATCTGAACTGTAGAGTAGTGAAATTCTAAAGGCAACTAAAGCAGGACTTAAAATATCTATAACTTCTCAAGCTTAATAGAAAAAAATTTTGGTATTTTAAATTACTTTAATTTAAATCTTTAAAAGTTATTATTGTTTTGAATTTGATAATAATTTGTAATTGTTTGTATTTTCTGAATTTCTACTAGACTGGGAAAAATATATCTTTTCAGATGACTGCACCGACGAAATTTTGAGTGCCTTGATGTTCAGCCATAAAATTAGAGATGCTGTCGACAGTTGGAAAGGTTTTTTTTGGAAATAATTTCAACAAAGTTATATAACATTCTTAATTACTTCATTTCAGGAGCGGCAATCAGTGCTGTTGAAGATAAGAAAGTTCCAAGGTCTAAAAAATAGGTGCCAGAAACCAAAAACCTTCAAATCTCAAGCTGCTTTTAATTAAGATTTAAGCAATTTTCATTGTTCATATCACTTATTGCTTCTCATATGAGGCGTATGTTATATATGCTTCTCTGCCATACCTTGATTGTAAATCATTTTTGAAATGACTGATTCTCGATTCTGACTGCAGTCTACGTCATTATGTCATACTTTAGATTGTGAGGGCGCTGAGAATGAACTGTAAAGGGAGCTAAAATTGCAGACAAATTATTATTCAAGTTGAAATGGAGGAAATTTCATTAATTTAATGTTCAATATTTACGTTTCTTCAAAAAGCTCCACACTGACAATTAGAAGATTTGCGTCGCTCTCAATGGCCCGAGACTTTGTAATGTACATAAAAGACCTGAAATGTTCCGCAAAGCAGATGATATTTTATATTTTGAGTAGACAATAAAAAAAACTATTTAATTAGCTTGTTACGTAACAAAAATTAAATGATTGCGTATTACTTACAGTAAACCCCATCACCTTATGATTTCTTTCTTATCAGTGATTGGCTACGATATAAAAGCCCGATAAAATTTGAGTGTGCTCATTACATTTTTGGAAGCCACCAAAGGTAAATATGAAAAAAAATCTCTTTATTATGCACTGACAGACCTGGCCTTACTTAAAAAGGTAAAAATGATCTTCTTGTTTGTTGCGGCCGCCGTCTGCCTTGCTGGGGTAAACGCTCAAATCGTCAATCCCGGTCCATGCCCAAATGTGACTTTGGAACAGCAATTCGATCTGCCTGCTGTGAGATATAAAGTTGATCCCATCTCTTAGTGTAAAATTTTTTTAAATCAGTATCTGGGAAGATGGTATGAATACAAGAAATACTTTGCCCTCTTTCAAAGAGACGGAAGCTGCGTTTCTGCAACTTACACTGATAACCAGAACGGAACAGTCGGAGTCAGGAATTACCTTGTCAAGCCAGAGTCAGTTTTATTTATATTTTTAAGTAATATTTTATTTTTATAATTTTATATTTCATAGTACTGGTGAGGTCGAAACTATTATTGGCTACGCCGAGGTTGATAGTGACTCCGGCGAAGGAAAGCTTCTCGTCTCCTTCCCCTCAGTTGGTGAGTGCCCTATTTACTTAATCTTTAATTGTGCAATGCTGTTATTCCAAAACTTGATTAACAGGCCAATACGGTTCTCCCTACTGGATTCTCGGAACTGATTACACCAGCTACACTGTAGTGTGGGCTTGCGGCGAAGTCGGAAATGACAATCTTCGTAAGACCATTGATAATAAAATTTGGAGATTGTTATTTTGATATCATTAATCGTGCAGAGTACGGTTGGCTCCTCACTCGTGAAAGGTTCCCTTCAAACGAGACCTTGGATCTTGCTCAGCAGGTCATCACTGCTAACCAGCTTGATGAGAAGTTCATAATCACCCCTCAAGAAAACTGCCCTCTTGACCCTTAATGTGTGATATTATTATTGATAAAAAATTTGTAAATAAAATATTAAAAAAAAAAAAAATTTTTATTGAATTATTCTGCTAAAAAAAATATCAGTAATAGTGTAATTTCAAATTGAGCCGAATGAAAAATAATAAATTTTGAAAATTAGCATTTACACCTTTTAGTGGAGTTATCTCAAACTTTTTATCTCAAATTCATCCGGACTAAAATTGATAACAATTTCATCAAACCAAAAGTTATAGGTCGTCTATAAGCATTTACACAATTCACTGTTGGGGAGCATACGTACGCTTTTGTACCGCCCCAAGCATCAACCCAAGTAATCAAAAAACAATCTTTAAAATTTAAAATCAATGGGTATTTGGATTTATAATGAGATTTATGGGAAAAAATGTTCTTGTTTTGTGCTAGCTCCACATCTACATACCTAAATAAGGTAAAGAATAGAGTAAAAGCCGACGGTGTTGGGTCTAATAGTAAATTCGCTCCTGCAATTTTTATTGCTACTCCTTAACATTCTGTACCAACACCCAACAATTCCATCTCTGTAATTATTGTTTCTGCGCTACGGAGAACGACTAGAATCATATACACGTACATGCATTGCTGCAGCTGACGGAGAACCGAATTATTTTGTTTTTTTTCTCGTCTGACGGGGGGGATGGTACACGTTACAATTATATATAAATACGAACGACTGATGGGGTTGGTTCAGCCTTCTGGCAGTTCATTCACCGTCTGCTTTGGCTTTGCTCTTTTTAATTCCAATGGGAGAGGTTTTGTGTGAGTCTTAATGTTATATACATATTTGTGCCTGGTGTCAATGTTGAAATGGCTGCTCTCATTAATATTTACGCGAGTCATTGGCATATATATTGAGAGCGAGACCTCATTTGATTTCTTCAATTTAAATGCGTTTCGTAGGGGTGTTTTTTTAAAGCTACAGGACATATTATTTATTACATGGTATTTTTTTTAGTTTTACTATAGACGCTATACTTTCCATAGATGCTGCTTACCAACTATTAAAAATACTGTTAAAATTTGTTACAAAGAGCAATAAAATTTATAATCATATAGATTATATATGAGATTCGTAAAAGGAATTATAATTATGGTATGTGTGTAAATATGTAGTAAATCGGTGGGCCTTTGGCCGTATTTAATATTATACTTGAACTTTTGCGGCGGGAATGCGCGCGTGTTGGTTTGTAAAAATTACTTTGAAAACTCATGAGCAAACCTAAAGCATTTGGCTGAGAGACGGGCAGACTTCCTTTTTTAAATCAATCTGCAGGAAGAATTTGGCGCATGAGAATAATTGAGCTTAAGTATACATTGACCTAATCAAATCCCAGAAAGGCTGAAACAACTGCTTAAAAGGACAAGAGGGGTCATCAAGAGAGGTGCACATTAAAATTATTATAGGACTGGTTCCACTTCTTGAACATGTAGAGAGAAAGTATCCGAAGTCAAATCTTCAACTTCTGCGGCACGGCGACCTCTTTACTTTCCCGCTACCTTGCACAGGCATGCTGTGTAAGCCATGCCCAGAATCTAGAAACAAATTATTATTTTTTTTATTATAAATGAAATAAAAAGTATAAAATGCTCCTCAAGTGAGCAAATTATAGCTTATGATTTTTATCAAAAATAATTAAGGCATTGTTTTCGGACAATATAAAATTTAAGACTTCAAAAGTTCCCCAAATCAGGCCATAGGCATCTTTGAATTTTAGAAACTTTCAAACACTCCAGAAGTTAACATAAAATTTGTAAAATTTAAATTCATACCAAGATTTAAGAGGATGATCTATTTAAGTTAATTTCAGGCAATTTAAAGAATTAAAATCTCTGTAATTTGTAATTCCTTAATGAAAAAAAGGCATAACTGAATGAATAATCTAATTAAATCAGGATTAATTTTCATAGTTCTCTGTCGAGATTACAACTAAAAAATGCTGAGAAATTTAATCCGTATTCAAAATTAAAATTGTCTGGCGTGGTCAATTAAGTTGGGTCAAAATGTAACTCACTTGGAGGAGACTGGCCGCAAGAGCGACCGCCAAGACGATGAGCGACTTGTCCTTGAACCAATCTTCAAGCGGCTGCAGACATCCCCGTTCATGGCGAGCCTCGCTGACGCCCTGACTCTGACAAAGTTCGGCCCTGACGGGTCTGGCGGTGCGCCACTCGTCAATGTCCATGCCCATCAGCATTCCGTGCATGCTGGCGTCGGGGGTGCTCGTCTTCTGCACCATGCAGCAGCTGGTCGGCACGCGGGGTCCATCCTGGCCGTTGGGCGGCTGCTGCATCTTGGCCCACAGCTCAAAGTCCTGCACCTTGGTCGATCCGCAACATTCAAACTGCAAAACCAGTGAAACGATCACGCCTTGATCGACTGGGGGATGCAACTGGCTGCGCACGTACGACATGCAGGTTGCATAACCTCACTGAACGAAATTTTACTCGTGTGTCATAAATTCTCAATAAATAATTAAACAATATAAAAAATAAATAAAGATAAAACTTGAATGCATTTTTACCATTTCTTTTCAAAAACATGCGAGGATAAACAAAAATATTGAAAAATTCATTTTGTCACATTTAAATTGTTAATATTTTTTATATTTTCTATGACATATAATTATATAATAAGAGGTTTCCAGTTAATTACGTTATATTTAGGAAAACATTTATTAGTGTCCAAATTTTTAAAAATACATTGTTTACATTCAATTGTTAATAAAAATTAAAGAGGGTATTTTAGGAAAAAATGGCACAACCGTACTTGATTTAATTTTCTACTCTCAATAAATTTATGCTAGCAATCAATATAGAATCGAAATATATACAATTTTATGCAAAATAAACCAATTTCAATAAAACATTAGTAATTGTACTGGAAAATTTTAATTTTTAGCTCCAATTTGGTTTATATGTATCAGACTTTTTGAAGTCGGATTTTTGCATCAGGATGTTTGTTTTTAAGTTTAAAAAATATTTGATATAACTATTTAGATATTTTTGGAATTCAGATTCAAACGCATTTATCCGCTAGGAACTTTGAAACAATTAATGAATTGATTAAATTGGCAATTGTTTGAAAAAGAACTTGGATCGAATAAATAAATATGTAAGAATAAAATAATTTACCTTGTACTGAGCAAAGCTGAAGGCGTCTGAGAAGTGCTCATGTCCGGTGCGGTTGAACTGGTTGTGCAGACGGTCGCGGAGGCGGGACTCGAGGCCCGAGATGGTCTGTTCGCGGAAGAAAAGAGTAGCCACCACCAGAGACACCTCGGCCGCGAACACGAGGAACAGGAAGGTGAAGTAGGTGCCGAGCAGACACTTGTTCAGCTGCTCAACCAGCCCAGCGAAGCAGCCGAGGATGCCCACCACCAGCACCACGCTGCCCAGACCGACCAGCCCGAAGGCCACCAGCAATAGGGGCGGCGTCCCAGGAGCAGCCACGGCCGTCAGCAACACAGCCTGGCCCTGGTCCAGCAGCATCGACGCCCCCAGCAGGATCAGCGCCGCACCAGATGCCTGAAATTAAGACATTATTGGATACTTTTCTTCCAATATATTATTTGAATTTTTGACCTAAAAAGCTATTTTGGAAATTCTGAATGCTGCAGAAAAAGTTAAATTTAATTTTTAAGAAGTGATTTTTCTTCAATTTTAAACGGTAAAATGTCTCATTTAAAAATTCTTTTTAATAAGCAAAAAGTTTAGGATGAACTTTTAGCCTTAACAGTTTTGATTATCGCAAAACACAAATAAATTAACTTTTAATCTGTTAAAAAAATCAAGGTAGATTAAAAAAGTGATATATCCGATTGGGGTGTCTGAAGTCTTCAATTGAGACGAATCCTTGAAAAATTGAGTCAAAGGCTCTGTGCTAAAAAAATGCTCTACAACAGGAGCGCTAATAAATAGGGGGTCCGAACAGACGCTTTTGTAAACGGTCCAGTGCTCTCTATGCATGAAAATGAAAGTAAAATATTGCACGCGGTGCATGCTTTCCTGTCTGCCGGCATTAAATAATGAAACAACAGGAGCAGCTCCACTATAAAATATACGTTATGAATAATGACCGCGCCAGACTATAAAAAAAATACATCCACTAGCTGGAACTTACCCAAAAGATGAGGTTGAAGAAAATGAGCCCTGCTTTGGCACATTTGTTCGTGTTGTCGCAAACGATTGCCATCTCTTATCGCTGAATTTTCAAAACTGAAACAAACAATTTCTAAATATAAAAAAAATTTGCTCTACTTTTTTTGAAAGGAAAGAGGACTAGAGTGATACCGTCTATGGAGGCAATTAAAAGTGGAGACGTTTTAATATCTGTCGAGAGAGAGCAAGAACAAGTTTGCGACTGTTTGCATTTGTGTGTGTTGTGGCCGCCGGGCTTAATGCATGGTCGGTTGTACTCGACCCGCGCCGTGTACAAAAGGGGCAGCGCGCTCTGCCTTGAATTATTGATTTTTGTCTGCAACAGAGAGAGACGCCCAGCATCCACACGGTCGGCACAGGCGCCAGATTTTCCTCTCAAATGCGCTCTTCGGTTATGGAAACGCGCGCGGCGTAGAAGTTTAGAAACGCAGCAGGGGACAATTTTCCCTCTGCTTGCGTGCAAAAGCGAAAAAAAAACGCTACAAATGTGCTCTCTCACTGTAATGACTTGATGGCTCTTTGAAACTCGTGCGTGCGCTCGAGTGTTCATTCGCATATTAAAACGTCCCCCGAGTTGATTAAAAATGTAAATGAAACAAAACACACGTTTCAGCACAAAAAAGTAAATGCACACTTTCACAAATTATTCTGTATAAGAAAGACGCGTTGAAAGGGTTATTATAAAATTACACTAAATTTTTGGAGGAGATTTTTCACAAAAGTCAATCTTTTTAGTTAAAATACTAAATAGTTTGTCAAAATATTAAAATTAGTAAAAGATGAAATTGAACTGAAAGGGCGTTTCCAGACGGCCGAAGTGGCTGTGCATAATTTACATTGTTTGCTCAGCTCCTGCACGAGCTGCAGATTTTTGTCAATAAAAGCACGACTACACTTTTGCCGTTTTACTGCTGTGGCCGAATCGCGCGGGCGAAAAAGCTCACCTGAGAGAGGATCGCGGTTTACGCCGCAAGAAGCAAACACATGCTGATCAACCTGCGAGCAACAATCGGTCGGTCGCGCGACAATGGATGCTGCTGGGAGAGACGAACTCGCTTTCTCGCGCAGAGGGAAAGCGAATGCCTTGCAAAGAGGGAAAGCGCCCCGGGAAAGCTCTTGTGGAGCCATCTGCCCCTGCCAATCGCGATCAAGGGCGCGCGCAAAAAGAGCAAGGACGCGCGCACCACCCGTGGAACAAACTAGTTATATCATTTCCTGCTAGAAATGAACTATCATCACAGTATCAACTGGGTTGAAAAGGTCAAGTTTCTTCATAACTTAATAATTATTGTTAAAAATAGCTGTTTCAATTTCATTATAATATTTTAGGAGGGTTGAGGGACATATGACGTTACAATTTAAAAATTCAACATAATTTAAAAATAATAAACCATCATTTAAAAGTAAACTGCATCAGAAAAATTTAATGGAATATTTTCCTATATTAATAATTGTGTCAAATATAAAATAAAATGATTTTTTTCTATAAAAGTACAAAATTTATTTATCTTTTGTTATACCATGTCAGATAATGCCATTACTCTGTTAACTGCTTCATGACCACTTCAATGATGAAGGTCCTGATTTGCATAGGGGTGAGGGTCACTTGGAAATCGTCGCCAAGCTCTTCAGGCGCCTTTTCGTCCAGCTCGATTTCATTCGATTCGACTGGCCAGTTCATCCTCTGCACGTTCTCCACCCACCGGTTGCCGCCCAAGCTGGTTTCCTTGACTGAAAGAACGTCAAAGGCGGAAAACAAGTTCTTCAGAGAGACGGTCACCGGCTTGGATAACTGAGGATCGTCGTCCTTGTTCTGCAAGTGCTCCAAGCGGAGCAGAAGGGAACGACCCTTCCACGGTTCAAGAGTGAGCAGGTGAACGTTCGGGGGCAAGGGGGCTGAGAGACCAGAGTACTGAGAAAGAAAATAATTAAGTCAGGATCGAGCATTGAAAATTGAAATAAGAAATCAGCTGAAGATGAAAAAAAAGAAGTAATTAGAAGAAAAAAAATCAATGAAATATTGTGAAATGAAAAGATTTTTTATAACACAAAATCACTTTACAAGTATTAAATAGATTTAACTTACTGAGGTTTTGTAAGATTTGGAGAACTGCTTGGCAGTGAGGTCAGTGGGGGCGAAGAGCAGCCAAGGGCGCATGACGTTGTGCTGCTGGGCCAACCGCCTCTGCTCTGCCTTGAGACGTCTGTCCCCAAGGACAACAATGTGACGCCCCCTGGCAACCAGTCCCTCTCCAAAGGCAGTTTCGTTCAGCGGCTCGGACACTCCAAAGGCGTCATCCTTCAGCAGCCTCCTATGAACCATCAACTCGAGTTCTCCGTCCCTCAGACTGGAGCCTCCCTGGGCCCTATCCGGAAGGATAGCCAGCACCTGTTCTCCCTCTTCCAAAATAGCGGCGGTGGTCACAGGGTAGTAATTTCCAGCCACAGGTTCAGTCAAGTTAGCTCGGCGTTGGCGAGAAATCATTTCTCTGCCGTTGGCATCTGTGAAGAAGACGCCGTTCGTGTCCCACTGGATGTCCAGCCTGGACACCACTTCCTTTCCTTTGCCGTCTCTGAACATTTCAGTTTTATATTTTATATGAATAAAAAAATTAAAGTTATTTTTATAAATACTCAATGGGGATTGGTCCGACGAGCCACTCGAGTTCCAAGTGCTGAGTGTCGTCTTCGTACAACCTGACGACCTGGCTGACCCAGGGGCTGAAGTGTTGCTGCATTTCCTGGACGATAGGGCCCTTGAAGGTGATCGCCTTGGCCTGTTTGGCCACCTTGATGGCCTCACTTGCAGGGCGAAAGATGTAGGCGCCAGAGGAACGGTTCTTGGCCTCTTCATTGTCTCCCACAGAGCCTTCGTAGTAGTAGAAAGATTGGTCCACGGCCTGTCTGACCCCATCAACAACTACTTCTGACAAGTGTCCAGTCTCCTCATCAAAATTGACTTGCACTCTCTGCAATAAATAAAAATTAAAAATTCATTTAATTTTCTCAAATTATAATATAAATTTTACCTTATTTTTCAGAGTGAATCTTTCAGGACCCTTTTCGGAATAGGCAAGCATAGTTTGGCCGGCCAATTTCTGGATGTAATAGGCCTTGTAGCCCAGAGGAGGCAGACTTTCAGCTCTAAAGACCAACTCTTGCTTGGCAGGACTACTTCTGCCTGGAAGACGCAGCAGCGCTTCGGGCACAGGAACCATTTGGGCCTTGATTTCTGTCCCCGAGGCGTCGAAGATCTTGTAGGAAGAAGTTGCAACGGGGATGCGGACGTGGTGAGTCACAGAACGGGACAGTGGGTTGAAAATCAGCACCACAAACTTTTCAGAAGTTTCAGAAGTGGCGCACTGACTGATGTTCAGCTGAGTGCAGGACTCAAAGTTTAGAGCGGGTTGATTTGAAGAGTCCTTGGTAATCAGTTTTCTGAAAAATTGCATTATTAATCAGTTTCCTTTTAATTAGTTGATATCATTTTCTTATTACTTTTAACTTTACTTAAATTGATAAAATGTTCCCCAATTGATTCCATTTTTGTACAAATAAATTATTTATTAATGTAATTAATTGATATGAATTTATTTTTCAAGAATTTTAAATGGAAAATTACGTCAAAGCAGCTTGGGTGGCAAAATGGCACTCGTCGAAGCCTCTGGTGAGCCTCCAAGCGTAGTCCTCGGCCACATGCTGCTGTTCGGTGCCAGTGATAGCGTCGTGGTGCTGCATCATGGCCACCGCTTCCCTCATAGCCGTCAGGTCAGCCCAGTCTTCAGGTCCCAGGTCAGCTAGGGCGTACAGCTGCTTGCAGACTTGCAAAAAGTTGTTGCCCTGGCGAGCAAACTGCTTTAGCGTGGGTCTGGAGGAGAAGTAGCCGGTCCAGTATGAGTGCTCGTCACTTGGGTAGGGGAAGAAGTCGTCCTCCTTGGTGGTGTAGGTCAGGTTTGCAGAATTGACGGCTCGCAAGTAACACGTAGGGGTCGAGTAGAAAACATTCATGTCCGAATTTTTTTCATTTACATATCTATGCGTAAGGAAAATGTAATAAATTAAATAATTTTGATTAAAAAAAAAACTAACTTGATCAGTTTATCCATGTTCTTGTACCAGGTATTTGCGTCTTGGTAGTTGAAATCTTGGCCCATCGTCATGATGATGTTGTTAGTTCTGTAGTGAGAGGCTTGTTTTTTGGCAAAGTTGACAAATTCCTTCACCTAAGAACATCAGGATTGAGATTGAAAAAAAAAATTAATATTAAATTTTCCAGATCAATTTTAGGAAATATCTTATCAATAAATTGGTAAAAAAATCTAAAAACTAATTTGGTTGAGATTGGTTGAGATAATAGCAGGAATTTTAAACAGCCAATTTTATAATAACAAGCGATTTTACAAAATTCAAATGTCTTTAAGCAAAGGACTCAAATTAAAAGGTGTTTCTGCTCTTTCACTTTGGTGCTTGTCCAATAGAAGATTAAAATTTCTCTTACCCTCTTGTCTACATTGTAGTCTGGGCTGTGTTTGTCGTCAATGAAGGGCTCGTCGTCACACAAAAGATCAAAGCAAAAGCCAGGCGGCGGCGAGTAGTGGTTGAAGAGGACGTGGGTGAACAGCTCGGCAGGCTTGCCCAAGTTTTTGGGGCTACCGCGCCACACCAGCTCGGCGGTTTTGTCCTTGAGGCGCTGCGCCTTGTCTGCAAAGTCGAGGCGGCCAAAGAATAGGCCGTCGAAACCCAGGCCGGCCATGATGGAGGCCGTTTCGCGCGAATGGCCGAAGGGGTCGATTTGCCAACCAGCCCTCGGTGCACCACACGCTCCAAAGGTGTCATTCAACCTTCTGAAGCCCCAAGTGAACTGATCAATAGTCGCCTGAAAAAATTAAGGTGTGAAAATTTAAGGATTGAAATATTAATTATTAAAATTTTCTATGTTTTACTATTGAACTTTGTAAGAATGTAAAGAAATTGCATTGTAAAATACATATTGTGTTTTCGTTTTTTTTTTTAATTAAAATAAAGTGATAACTTTGAATACATATTTCAATGATTTTTTTTGGCGGCAGATAGTTAAACATGAAATTAAAAAAAAAATTGTTTAAAAATATCTCCTTATTTTTGCAATTTAGTCTTGGCTTTATTTCTGTGTAAAACTGCTGACTCTATTCTTTTGAAAAATGCTTTGAAATTCGCAATTAAGCACTTTTAGCCGTAGACAAAATAAAATATTATATTTCATGTATTTTCCATTTGAAACACATTTACAAAGAATTAATTTTTTTACCTGGTAGTGAGTGACGGCTTCGTCGTTCATGACCCACCCACCACCCAGCAACTCGATCTGTCCGTTCGAGACGAGTTGCTTGACCTGGTGGCGCAGGTGGTCGCCCTGCTCCTTCCACCACTTCCAGAAAAAGGCCGTCTCGACCTGGACATAACGCTTCCTGGGGTCGTGCAGCAGTTGCGAGACCACAGAGTCCAGGATGTACTGAACGCCGGCATTCTGCTTGTCTGTATTGCTGCCATAGTAGTACTGGTCGACCGTCTTCAGCCAACCAACGTCGTCGTGCGAGTGCGGCACCAAGTGCACATTCAGCACGTCGTTCTTCCATCCGGTGCACGTCTTTTGTCCAACAAGAAAATTGAATCAAATTTCACGCGTGAGAAGCTTTTTTGAATAGCAACAGCAAATAACATCATGCGATATAAATCACAGCAGGTCTTCAACTTTGACCTCTTCACACTGACCCTACCAAAGATTATTGACTAAAGAGAAAATAAATTATCCAAAACCAACAAGAGCCAGAATAGTCTCACTTAATATTTTCAATGAAATTTATATCAAAATTCTTCACGGATGATGAAATTTTGTTAAATTATAAAATTTCATTTGATTTAGTAAATAGACAATTTAGATTCTAATTGTTTATCAGATTTTGTATTTCCTTCTTTAAAATAAAATCAATTTTTTTTTTTGGGTAGCAACAGATGAATTTTGAAAAATTACCATAACTCCCATAGCTTTATATAATTTGGAAGTGATTAAAAAATGTTTTTGTGGTTTTAAATATTTGGGAAAACATGAAATAAAATTTTTTAAGTAAAAAACTTCAAACTTACGGCGCAGCCAGGGTCACCGATTGCCCCCGAGAGGCCGATCAGACACGCCGCAAGAACAAACCACATCTTTCCACGCCGGCCGGCTGAAGCCGATTGGAATGGAATCAGAAGAGGCACTCTCGGGCTATTGTTGCCTTCTTGCTGGCACAACAAGCTTGAATTTTATTTCTCCGACGCAGCATTCCCAACAGCAGTGCCCCTCCCCCCAATAGTCTCTTGAATAAATTATGCAAATTAAGTCATTATAGCCTGTTGAGCTACATGTGATCTTAGATTAGATGTTGTGATTTCTTAAATCAAAATAGTATAAAAAGAAAGATTATTACCTGACCTTAAATTTACTGATTACAAATTTAATTTTTTTTAAAAAGTACAAATTTCTTAATTATTATTTGATTTTGTTAGATTTCATTGAATGGATGTTTGTAATATATTAATAAAATAAAATTATTTTTCACAGAAATTACCTTTTCATAAACAGGCTCTATTTGTTGAAATTTGTTTACTATTTGCTGTATCATTTTGACGAGGAAAGAAGACGGGATGCGATTGTGAGTGGCTGATGAATTTACACCTCGCGCGTTTGACGTCGCCCAACACCTCGTGCCCACCAAAGTAAACAAGCATAAGCGATACGAAAACATCAACTTCAATTGCAAACGGCAATAGAATGATATTTTCAAAGCAACGTAATACGGCAGCGTGGAATTGCAAATTAAATTAGAGCCAATTTGCTTTCAATTAAGAGAAGCTAACGGACTAATAATGGTGCTCAACTTACAATTAGTTCAAAATGTGCGTGCACGCCGAGAAAATTCGAAGAAAAAAAATAATCAATATAAAATAAATTAATATCTAAAAAAATTTAAGACACATAAAATGAAATAAAAATAAAACATTTATTGTCCCGCTTTTAAAAAAAATCTTGAAAAGAAAAACAACATATTTGAGAAATTATTTCAAAATTAGTGTTTCTCATTTCCATTGTTTCGAATTGCAAAATTTTTGCAAACACGCTTCGGCTGAAAAAGGAATTATTAATTTACTTCGAGCAAGCTAACGTTGATGCGGGAAATTAATTCCGAGCTGTTGACACACAAGAGAGTGCCACCGCCACACATTTTCCCAGAGGGAGTGTTGCTCATAAGCGCGACGCGCGACCAGAGGCTTCAGTTCGGGTTTGCCAGTGAACTCGAAGGGATGGCGACGCGCGGAAGACAAGTGAGGGCCTCGGAGCTGCCCAGCGCCTGCATCTCGCGCATTTCCAGACGCACCTACAGCTTTTCCTTTGACCCCATCGTCGAGAGCAGGGTCCTCGTCCTCTACACCGGCGGCACCATTGGAATGGTGCGAAACAATAGTGGAAGTAAGTTGGCTTTTATCTTTTATTTGAATTTTACAAATATTAATAAATTTTTTTTATGAATGTATAAATTAAATCAATAAATTTTTAATTTTTTTTTTTAACTTATGCAGCTTATGCAGTTGAGATTATTTGGGTTATAATTTTTTTTTGACAATTTTGATTAACATTTTACTTATTTATATTTTTCTTTTTAAATTATAATTGCGCATCGGAAAAGTTGTGCTGAGGAAATACTAGGAAATAATTGTGTTTGTATTTTTCTCAATCAAAACAATGAGCGACGCACAGCTCAATAACATAAACGTGATCGATGAACTTTTCCACTATTTATTGCAATTGTACACACGTCCGCAGATATAAAAATTATATTGAATCACCAACCACGCGCGTTACTCAAACCCGCGCATTGACCTTTCAACCGATTGACCAAGATGACTAGTTCTTCACCGTATTTGGCCACTTAAAAAAGTGACGCGGAAAAATTTTAAAACTATCACACGAGACATGCTTTTTCCATTATTCGACTCGTTTGAGAAGAAGTAAACCCACCTTGATTATAGATAAACGAGAGACGCCCCAAAGCACAAAATGATATAAAAAAAACTCCTACCTCTTTGTCCGTAACGTATCTTCCTTTTTTCCTTGAAAAAGCTCTGCTGAAACAAACAAAAAATAAACATTTAAATTAAACATCTTATTAATAATATTTAATTTGTTCCCTCTAAAATTAAAAAACAAAAAAACAAAAAAAAAATGAAGTATGAAAACCTACAAAAACTTGTATTTCAGTTTTGGCACCGACTGCGAACGCTCTGGTGCATTCTTTACGCCGCTACCCTGACCTGCACGACGAGACCTACGCCCAGGGCAAATTCAAATCTGAAACATCCGACGCTCCCTTGGTCCTTCCGTGAGTTAAATCTCGTGAACCTTCCACTAAAAATTTTACTAAATCAACCTTGTCCAGGCACATCGAGGGAAAGCGACGAGTCATCTACTCCATCTTGGAGTACGACCCCTTACTAGATTCCAGCAACATGACCATGGAGGACTGGAGCCGAATGGCTGAGGATATCAAGGTTTTTTTAGATCTCAAACCAATTTTTTTTTAAAGTTTAAAATTCTACTAATTATTTCTAGCGGTTTTACACCTTGTTCGATGGCTTCGTCGTTCTGCACGGAACAGACACCCTGGCCTTCTCAGCCTCTGCCCTGTCCTTCATGCTGGAAGGCCTTTCAAAACCGGTTGTTATCACTGGATCGCAAATTCCGATGGTGGACGCACGCAGCGACGGAAAAAGCAACTTCCTCTCCGCGTTGGTTTTGGCAGGAAACTGCGAGATCCCCGAGGTCACGGTTTTCTTCGGGGAGGTCCTTCTGAGAGGCAACCGGACGGTGAAGGCAAGCGTTGGCTCCCTGAGGGCCTTCACCTCCCCCAACTGCAGACCTTTGGCAACTGTGGGCGTCAGAATCGAAGGTGAAAAAGATAAAAATTTCTTTCCTCAAACAAATCCTGCTCAATTGTTTCCCGAATAAATTTGGCTACTAATTGAAAACTTGCCCTTCCAAATTCAACTAAATTACATTTTTTGTTCCAGTGGATTTCAAGAGCATCATCAGGCCACCGCGAATAGACACTTTCACCGTCCACTCGACCCTGAACCGAAACGTGGGCCTCCTGCGGCTCTTCCCAGGCATCACCACGCAGATGGTGCGCGCCTTCCTGCAGCCACCCCTTGAAGGCGCCGTCCTACAGTCCTTCGGCGCTGGAAACGTGCCTTCGAACCGTGAAGACCTGCTGGCCGAGTTCAAGGCAGCCACCTCGAGAGGAGTGGTGCTGGTCAACTGTACGCAGTGCCAGCAGGGCGTCGTCATGAGCGTCTACGAAACGGGAAAGGCGCTCATCGACGTCGGCGTGACCCCTGGCTCGGATATGACCCCCGAGGCGGGCCTCACCAAACTGGCCTACGTGCTGTCCAAGAGCGAGTGGGACGTCGAGACCAAGCGACAAATGATGCAGAGCTGCCTCAGGGGAGAACTCACAGTACCCAGGTCACAGAGTTACAATGGTTGCGAGAACAGGGTTAGTTCCTTTTTATTAAATAAAATTAAAAAAAAAACATTTCTTTCTGGAAAATGAAAATAATAATTGTTGATTCCTTTAACCTTTTAATTTTGTAAAATTCCACTTTTTTATTATTAAGGATGGTGAGGATGAATTTGGGAAAGACCTGATGGCAGCCCGCCTGTGCGCGGCCGTGGTGAAAAAGGACGTGGCCAGGGTGGAGGAGATTTTGGAAAATGGTGCTGACGTGAATTGCGTCACTCCTGGCGATAGACGTTCCGCCCTGCACGTGGCCTGCACCGAAGGGGATGCAGGAATTGTGCGGCACCTGTTGCTGGCAGGCGCCTCGCAGGACATTCTAGACAGACACGGCCGATCCCCCCTGATGGACGCTGTGACCTTCGACCACCACGAAACCATTTCCGTCCTGCGATCGTTTGGCGCCTCTTTGCAAGCGAGCAACTATGGCAATCTAATTTGCGAGTAAGTGATTAATTAAAATAAAATAAAAATTCGCTTTAAACAGCTTAAAAAATATTTTCTTTAATCTTGATATTTGGGGTTCGATGATTAAATTAGTTAACTTATTTTTTTATAAAAAATTTTCTCCTACCTCAGTTTTATTTTAGATCAAAAGTCAAGAATAAATAACATTTAATTAATTAATTTTGAGCATTACATTATTATTGAAGCTATATATTATGTACATGAGTAGAATTTCAGCGATATTGTACAAGGCTTGTTTTTCTTCTTAATTTGCTAGGGCGGCTGCGAAAGGAGACGTGATGCGCCTCAAGTCCTACCAGCTTGCCGGTGCAGATCTAGGCCAAACAGACCTGAGCGGCAGGACGCCTCTTCACATGGTAAATAAGTAAACAAAAATACGAAAGTGATAATTTGACGTTAATCAGGCGGCCCTGTTTGCTCGTCTCCAATGCGTGTCACTTCTACTGGAAGCCAAAGTGTCTCGAGAGCCGATGGACGCTTTGGGAGACACACCTTCGGACCTGGCGGCCCGCAGAAATTACGGCGCCGTCCTCAACATGCTTGAATGCGCCGACTAGCAAACTAAGCACAAGCACAATTGATATATTTGTACATACACCCATTTACAGATATTTTTTGCACAAATGAGAAATGGAAATAATAAAGAAAGGTTAACAAATAAATTATTTGATTTTATAGCTGCTTCACAATAATAAGTTTGCAAAAAGTCGAATGGAATAACAGAGAGAGCAATAAATTACAAAATGATGGAGTTGCGTCACTACTTTCCGTTGAAAGGCTGGTAATCTTTGATTGGCGTCGGGGCAAAAGAGAGCAAGGAGGCGACGGCACCCAGACCGGCGGCCAGGGCGATTCCCTTTAGGTTCACTTCTACGAGGGGACTACTTGAATGGTTCCTTCGCAAGGGCAACGACAGAAATGGCATGCTGAATTCCAAGTCGACCTAAACGGACAGTCTCGAAAGTACTCTACGGTTTCAAATTTGGAAGGAAAAATAACTTACACGCATCCTATCTCCAACGCCCGTGTTGAACTTAATCAGTCTGGCCAGCCCTCCATTCCTAGGCTCCCTACTTCCCCATGGACTACACAGGAGAAATATTTATTTTCAGAAAATATTCCGCAGTGGTTAATTGAATTGCCAAAATAGAATTACTAACCTGCTGTGGACCACTAGGGAAGTTGAGGCGAGGAGAGCCACAATGATCGGAGTTGCAAGCTGCATGAGCACTGCCAGGTCCGTGGTTCGTAGCCAGAAACAACGACTCGCTCTTCCCCTCTGATGAGGAAGCAGGTGTCGAACACAATGACATTCATTTGCGCATTGTGTCAATCGCGGTCACCGAGCGAGACACATTTTGTCACAATTTGATTGCGGCTTCTTATCCAAAGTCAAATTGATTCTAATTTTAATCCCTCCCTTTTCGCTCTTTTAATTTATTTGTATATTTTCAGTTTGCAAATCGAGATTTTGCGCGAAATTGTTGGCGTGTGTTTTGATTCCGCGCGTCGCAAACAATGCAAGGTTGAGAGGTCGAGAGCGCGGCATTGTTCATCCAGCAGATGGAATGTGCTTTCTATGACGGAAGAAGATGAAATTCACACTAAAAATGAAGGAAACGATAACAATCATGTTGCTAATCATTATTTCCGCGATTTTTTTGTCTGTCGTCGCGTTGGCGTCTGGTGAATGTGCGTTAAAAATGTCAGTAGAAATTGAAAATGACAAAACAAAAAACTAACTTTGTGCTTATTTCTTGGGTTGGTTATTTCAGATGAAACAATTTAAAGATTGAACTTGGAAAAATATCAGATAACATCTTAATGACACAAAAAGTATGGAATTGAGGAAAATAAGTATTGTTTTGAGAAAATTCTAACGTTTTAAATTTATTTTTTTTTATTCCTAAATTTTGAATAACCTCTAATAAAATATTAAAAATTTTCACGTCACTGTTCCATTCAAAAGTTTATAATTGAATAAACACCTTGTCCATTTTCATCCTGGAATTTGACATATTTAAGAATAAGTCTGAAAAAATTCAGCCATATATTTACAATTAAAATTGCTAAAATAAAATTATTTTGTCTTATAAAATTAAAAAATAAATAATGCAATTTATTAAAAAATATTTTATAACACGTTTTAAGTAAGTTTCTCTAAATCAGAATATGAAATAAGTTAAAAATTTACTCCCGTTTGAAGCCAAATAACCTGTATTATATGAATTTCCTCTGGTGTGAATTCCTCGGCTGGACGCACCACTGGCGACTGACTTGATTGAATTTCATGCCATTATTAAATGCCACCAAATTGCTTCTTTGTTTGCTCAGTCAACGCGTCATGTTTGTCACTTAATTTTGTTTAATTTTTGTGTAATATAGGCTATGAATGTGTATTATAATAGTCAAAGCTTTTTAAGTTCTTGTTATTGCCAGTTTTCCGCACAGGGCGAGTTTCCACTTAAAATCTAGAAATTAATTTTCTTTTCGTTTTGGAAAAGATTCTAATTAATAAACTTGGTAGGAAGTAGAGAGAATAAGAGTAGGAAGGAGTCGAGCAGACAAGACGCACAAGCAGTCTTGCCAGTCTTCCGCCCGCCCGCGCCCGCCTCTAGTGCGTGAATGGTTCGTGATGCAGACACCAGATGGCGTTTCGTCAAGCAATTAGACCATTGGAATAAGTCAGCGTGCCAATTATGCTCATTGTCGTCATAATTTAAAAAAAAATTTAAAAAAATCGTATATTAATAAAATTTAAAAACTATCTTATTTTGAAAAAATTTCTTATACACCAAAAATAGTAATTCAAGCTTTAAGCGTCATTAAAATTATTTTTAAGCACAAATATGACCAGCAAAGAAATGTACAAAATACTAAACAATATTTTCTCTCTACCGATACACATTGACGAGCGGTCTGAATTTCCCGGGAGCGCTTTGTGGCTTGTACGAAAGTATGATCTGCTCAACCTGGGAAGTAATTGCGACTCCTCTTTTTGCAAAACTTCTGCGCGATGAAATTTTTAGCACAAGCTATTAGAAACGACTATGAAATATTGACAATTTACCAAGAAGTCCAAGAACGTGTGAACTTATATCTTCTTGGGTTGGTTATTTCAGATGAAACAATTTAAAGATTGAACTTGGAAAAATATCATATAACATCTTGACACAAAAAATATGGAATTGAGGGAAATATGTATTGTTTTGAGAAAATTCTAACGTTTAAAATTATTTTTTTTCCTGAATTTTGAATAACCTCTAATAAAATATTAAAAATTTTCATGGAAACGTCACTGTTCCATTCAAAAGTTTATAACTGAATTAAAATGCAAAATTGAAATCATAAAATCAATAAAAATTTACAAAATTGTCCATTATTTTGATATTATGTTCGAAATTATTTTAAAGTACTTGTTGTGGTATATTAAATTTAGCCTAAAACGCTCAATTTACGAAAAATTAGACACTTCCTTCCAACAAAACAGGATAGTAATTTAAGTAAAAAACTTATAAGTGATAAAAATTTCACTTTTTTTCTCGTGCATTCAACTCTAATGAATTTACCTCTTCGCATTACTTATTATTTTTAATCAAAAAATTTTATTCAAGTGCTATTTTTCCATTATAATTAATTTCACTTGAACAAAAAACAAACTTGGCATTAAAAAACAAATTTCTTTGAAGGCAATTACTTGTATTCAAATTCAGGTTTGTGTAGAAATCGTATGTGGAAAATAAATGCCATTATTTAAAATTTTAATTACTGTTGGCAGTATATTTTTATTTCAGTAGAAGAGCATAAATATTAACAGTTAAATACAATAAATTACATTAATTGACTGTTACTGGGAGAACACTTGATTGAGCTTTTTTATATAATTGGACGATGAAAGATCTTGATTTTGATTGAATTGGCAGTGATTGCAGTTCAGTGCTTAGAAATCTTGAGTCCCGACCCAAGATGTCCCGAGTGGTCATTGTCGTACGGCGTGGGAATGAGGTTGAGGAAGGACGCAACGGCTCCGAGACCAGCGGCCATCGCCATGCCCCTCAGGTTGATGTCCAGCGGCGACTTGCCATCTCCGATTTTCCTCTTCAGCGGCACTTCGAGGAAAGGCACACTGAACGAGAAGTCGACCTGAATACAAGGATTGAATTTAAACCTAATTAAAAATAAATTCATTTTGAAGCATTACATTGAGAGTGTCGCCCTCGCCGGTTTTGAACTTGATGTACCTGCTGAACTCAAAGGGCGAATTTTTCTTCTCCCGACTGACATCCTGTGGTCTGGAAATCCATTTTGAATTTGTGCTATGGTCAAGTGAGAAAGTTTTAAAGTTTTTACCTGCACGAGACGAGCAGAGGGAGGATGAGGAGCGTCAGAACGAGACGTGTGTGCTCCATGAGGACCAGATTGCTTAAGTGCCACTTCTTTTGGAGGCACTTAAGTCAACGCCTCGCAAACTCCCCCTTTTCAGGAACACGAGGGTCAAAAACAACTGTCACAATTGCGCAAATTCTCATCAAACTCACGGAGGAACCGGAAGTGCAAAGAATCGAAGGAAGTTCCGGATGCTTAAAATAAAATAAACTTCTTAATGACGGTACCGTGCGCCGCCTCAAAGGATTACGTTGCATCATGTGAGCAGCACGCTTGGTGGATTCAATGCGAGCTCATTAGTTTAAGTGCAAAAAAATTAGTGTTTGTGTGCCAGCGATGAGCTTTCTTTCAATAAACGTGACAGTTTTCTGGTAAAAATTTAATAAATTAATGGTATTCTATACAACAGAATCGCTTCACTATTTTAAGAAAAGCTTGATTTACATCTCAAAATATTTTGCGCCAATTTTGCAAAGTAAAAAAAAAAGTGGAGAAAATTACCTTTGATTAAAATGCACCAGATTGAAGCACGTCAAATTATGATTTATATTGCAGAAGCGACATCGCGTGCGTTAAGATCTGAAGAGACTTGCCAACAAAATTGAGATCGTCTACCGTGACAAATTTTACAAGATACTCGTATAGATGAGATCTGTAATTTTGCTCTACAATGTTTATAGTTTTACAACGAAGCAATTTATTTCTTGTGAAGGATTTATTTACAATATCTTACAGGGAAAAATGTTAAAAAATACTATTATTGTTGTTTATTTAACGATAGTTGGGCACCATAAAAAATCAATCATAGATTTTTCGAGATTTTTTACAATTTTTCTTTATAACAGAATTAAAATAATCATGTTATTGCGGTTTTATCCCTTTATTGAGACTATAATTGCAATAGTTTTGTTTGCACAAAAAACTTATTATGGAAAAAAATAAAAGTTTCGCTGCAATTTCAGATAAATATTATTGTAGTGATATAAATAAGTACCTATGTACAAAGAAGTTATACTTTCATTTTGCTTTAATGTTTCACTAACTAGGTTCCATTAATCATATTTAATTTACATTAAGAAATATTTAGCTCCGATTGTTTTAGTTTCTTCAATATATCATAGGGAAACTCTGTAATAATTAAAAATTTTTCTAAATAAACAAGAAATTTCAGGCCCGAGAAATTGAAAACATATTTATTGAGAAAAATTAATTATTAAAAAATTGTATTAAATGGGCAAATAAAATAAAAGAAATTAAACTGCTGCTAGTAGGAAAACCCATTCTTTTCGATTTCTTTCCTATTTTATGTTAATGCTTTAAGAATCACTAAATTAAATATATTATAATCTTTGGCTATGGTAATAAATCGTCTGTTAATTCATCTTCCTAGTATGTAGCATTTTTTTATGAAAATATTTTATATCATATTCAACTGTTAAGATCGAATATATTATGGAATAAAATATTTTTCAATTTAATACTGCAATTAACAGTAGAAATTTTAATAATTGTTATCGTTATACTTGAAACGTACTTGATGATTTATATATAGGCAAAACATAAATAATTAGGTTGCTTGAAAATTGAATTGGTGATTAATATCAAAAGTTAAAACTCTCCTTAATAAATTCGATAAATCGGCACTGAGATTGTATGCCCAAAATTTGCATGTGTCATCACGTCAAAATCGGCGACGGTGGCGCAAAAGTGTCATTAAATCTGTTGCGTTTGTGCGACAGGGCGGCGCGAGAGTGAAACCGGCGTGTTCCTGTAACTGTGCGATAACCGTGCGCGAGATGACGAGCAAGACGTTTGTTCGCAGAGAAGAGACATACATACGCACCTATATGAACGCTCCGGTAGAGACAATGCGACAAGATGAATGGAGGAAAGCGCGAGTGACACAATGCGCTTTGTGTGCGTGCATGCGTGCAGCCCGCGGCGAAAGTGACGACACACTATATATAAAGCCGGGGGCTGCGGGGAGGCTCATTCATTTGGGGATCAAACTCGGCATCCACAGCATCATGGTACTCCAAAGTGCACACAAGGATTTCCATCAACTCTCATTTGTGTCAAAGGTGTTTCAGAAGCGAGCGGTTCTCCTCGGCGTTTGCCTGGCGGTGCTCGGGGCGGCGACGGCCCATCCCGGCAAAAACGAAAACGCAGCCCAAGGGTAGGATTTGTTTTAGAATTTTATTTGTATCTAAATAATTTTATTGGACCTTGGGAATAACAGGCAGCGACTGTTGCCGAGCGCCAAGGAACTGCACTCGAAGGAAAAGGACCAAGATGCTGTAGGGGCCAGCCCCAGGTTCGGCTTCCTCAGCAACTCAATTTATCCCGTGAGTGCAAAGAAACCATTATTTTTTTCAAATCATTTGTTTAAATTGTATAGTTTTTCTAATACATTATTTTAATAGGAATACGAAATCTGAAATTTGCTCAGAATTCCTTTATAGATGTTTTTAATAAGGCTTGAGCTTTTATTTATTTTAAAGAGCTTTTAGAATTTATTTCTATAAAAGTATTGCTTTTCCTCAAACAATAGTGTAATAATAATTCCCTGCATAAAAATTTGCAAAAATCCGCTTTTTGCAATCAGATTTATTAAATGACGTTTCTTTCAAGTATAACTTAAATATGCTCTTAATCGACAAAAAGAAAAAGTTTTAGTTAACCATTTCTCATTCTAAATTTTGATGTCAAATACCTATTGTTTTTAATCTACAACTTAATTAACATTGATAATGAAATTGGTTTTATGAATTTGTTAATAAACTTTAATCATGCAAATTTTGAGAGAAAAAGTATTTTAGAAAGTTCCCCCTATTTGTAAGAATCAATGGCAATTTTCAAAATCCGGTTCTCTCGATGAACTCAATTTATTTATGTCGTCTACTTGGAATTGAAATTTTCAAAGCAATGCTAATGTAGAGAAAAATGATTAATTAAAATCAATTTACCAGAAGCTCCTGCTTAATATGAAGAGTTTGTCTCTCTTCATTTTAAAAGTGGCAAAAATCAACATGGATATTATTTCAGCAGGGCACTTACAGCACCGGCACTGGCCAGTACGGCGCCGCCTCTCCCCTGAAGCTGGACCTTGGTGGTCTCCTGGTCGGAGGAGCCATTGGCCTGGGCCTCATCTTCCTGGTGCCCAAACTGTTCTACCCCTACGGTGCCAGGGACTGCAGTGGCTACAACAATTACCAGGCTCGCAGTATGTTTCCTCCTCAGTAAATCCCTCCAGTTCATGACCCGACCTTTGACAGGCACTGACGCAGACACAGAGAGCGCGGCCACCACCTTCCTGACCAGACTGAACGACGCCCTGGCCAAGAACAACATCGACACCGCCAGTTGCGCCCAGAGGGCCCTTTGCTCCTTCGTCCAGAACGCCAACGGAAAGGTCAAGGAAGGTTCCGCCTCGGACTACGAAAAGGTCATCAGCGAAATTACCAGGTAAATTTGGCAAATAATTTTGATGTATCGAAAATAAATTTGATAAATCGCAGCCAAGCGTCTTCCGAGAACATTTTCAACTCGACCGAGTACCAGAGAGCTCTGGACGTGGGACGCTCCGGCGGAGACTGCGCAGCGACCTTCCAGAGCTGCAAGTCCAACTCGGACAATGTAATCGGTGCAGTCAGGTCTTTCATGATGTCCATCATTTTCTAAGAGACCGCAGCTGACGCTATTTATATACTTGTATATTTATTACACCGAAACAAAGCTCCAATTTTTATCAAATAAAATCCAAAAACCATACAAAAAAGTCACTTTTTTAAATCGCAATTATATTTGAAAATAAATAAATAAAGGCTGTACTCACTCTTCGAAGTTGGTCTTGACGAATATTAAATCACTTCCATAGATCACAATCTGCAGAGTTTCGAAGATTCCATCTGCAAAGCGAAACAAAAAAATTTAAATAAAAATTTTACATAAAATGCATTACTGGATCCTTTAAATTTTTACCCCTCTTTTCAATAATGTCTAAAGGAGGCCAGAAATAATATATGTGACGTGCCATCAGAATTGCAAGTTGGTCGTACAATAAATTGTAAAGGAAGCAACTGGTATTTACATTATGTTGAAGAACTCCTGATGTTTTATCCAACTTTTCCAGTCCACATGATTTTTGAATACATAATTTGCTTTCATGCAAAAAAGCTGTGCTAAATTCTTTGTGATTGGCAACGAAGGGATATGTTGCTGATTGAGCAGGAAAATTCATGAGAATAGGCTATATCCGACATAATTCCGCTGCTGTTTTTACTCGTTTGTTTACTTTTACAACTATACACAACACACACACACACACACACACATGATGCACCATTTTTTGCGATTTGTGACTTGATCGTCCGCAAGGGAGGGGGAAAGCGCGCCATCCCAGATCCCAGCCGCGTACAACTAAACTTGTCTCTTCTTTTCTTGCCGCTCTCGCTCACTCTTGTGATTCTGCCTAATATGCCTGCGGCCACCTGCAGCTAGTGCGGCTGCTGCCACCGCTGTGATGGGACAACCGTGATTTTGTCCGACCACATTTCAGTTTGGAATTTGGATTGCAAGGACCCCCCACAGTGACCATGTCTGACACCGATTCCATCAAGGAAATGCTCATCGACTTCGAGCTCGAAAACGACGAATTCAGCCTTTGCTCCCATTTGCTGCCCGAGCTGTCACAATTGTCGCAAAGGCCACAAACGCAAAGCAGTAGGTTTTTCTAACTGTCGAGTTGATTAACATCATCATGGTTTGTCGAATCCCAAAACTCGGTCAAATGAATTTAGAAAATGTATAAAATCCAGGGAACGCACATGGACCAAAAAAAAACATCTCAAAATCTGTTAAAAATTGAAAATAATTAAGACTTTTAATTATAGTTGTTATTAAATCTTCCCTGTATCTTCCAATAGAAATATTAGAATTCAAAAGTTTTAACCATTTTCTAAATTGATCATGTCATCTAATTAAAAGTTTGGCCGGTTTTGCAGTTGAAATGGCGGTCTCAAAGCCGCAATCATCAGAGTCGAGAAAAGTTGCATCTTCTCCGAACGTTGCTCGAGATCAGGTTTTGCATTCAATAATCAAGTCAATGAATGAGAATCCTGCTGCCAATGCTGACGCTTGCTGGGATGAGTTGTGGGAAGAAATTCTTACTGATCAAGAATTCTCTTTGAAAGAGGAAAATTTACTTTTGAAGGTGTGAAAAGACAATTTTTTTAATGATTGTTTTAAATTAATTATTGTACATAGTGCGCCATGATGCGAATGTTAGAATTGTCAGATCAAGTTTTACACGAGGAAGACAATGAAAGCAGTTCCGTCGTCAGCTCCAGAGCAACCACATCCTCAAACTCATCAATTCCCTACGCATCTGCCAGTCAAAATTGCACCTGCAAAAAATGTAATAATATGTATTTAAAAAAAATTTAAATACAGTTGAAATGTTTTTTCTATAGCTGACGGCCAAGCTAACAATATGGCCAACAAGGTGACTGTTTCTGGAAGTTACGATGATGATGATGTAAAGGGACAACTGAAAAGGAGAGCTGCGATTGCTGCTACCAAGTGTAAACCCGATAGTCAGGGACTGAGTGACATTTTGGGCCTGGAAGAGGCAAAGTTGACAATTTATGAAGCCCTTCTGATGCCCACGCAGTATCCACAACTCTTTAAAGGTTTAAAACTTTTTCTTTATAAAAAAAAAAACATTTATATTTTGTTTAATTCTAGGACTGAGAAAAGCACCAAGCACCATCCTCTTCTACGGACCTCCAGGTACAGGCAAAACTAGGTTGGCGCACGCAGCTGCTGCTGAGATCTCTGCAGATTTTTACTGCATCTCGTCAAGTGACCTTCTGTCAGTTTGGTTGGGAGAGTCTGAGAAGTATATGTTTCTTTTATATTATATTAATTTAAAATTGTATGAATAAAAATCAACAGGCTAATCAAGGAGATGTTCAACATGCAGCAGGGAGACCGAAAAGTCATTATCTTTGTGGATGAGGTTGATAGCCTGTGCAGAGTGAGGAGCTCGGATGAAGCAGAACACAGTCGAAGGTATTATTTTTATGAGAAAAATTAATGAACATGCAGATCATTACGATTATTATTTAAATTTATTCCAGACTAAAAACTGAGCTTCTGGTCCAGTTAGATGCAGCGCCTATGAAAGGAATTGTTGTTATTTGCGCAACAAACTGCCCTTGGGATTTGGACAAAGCCTTTTTGCGCCGATACCACAGAAAAATCTATATTGGAACTCCTGATAGGTAAAAACAATTTTTTTTTTTAAGATTTTGAATATTAAAATTTTTAACTTGTTAGAAATGCTCGATGCCAACTGCTGTCGAAATATGAATGCATGATGGACACCGCGAAGCCCATCGACTGGACTGAAATCTTGGACAAAACTGAATTGTATACTGGAGCTGATATGGAGCAGGTTGCTCAATATGCTCTGATGCTTCCAGTGCGGGAGCTGAGGACCAGTACCAATTTCTGGAGATTTAACGACGGTATAACTTTCAAACATTGACTGAATTTTTATGGAAGTGATAAAAAAACTTTCCAGATGGACTTCTGCTACCCACAAATAGTGAAGACCCACTGGCTATTGAAGGGACGCTTGATGGAGTTCCTCGGCATTTGGTAATTAAGAAAAATAATTATATTTATGCGAAATTTCAGAAAAAAATTAAATATCAATTAGGTAAACGCAAGACAGGTGGAATTGTGTGATTTTGCTGCAGCGTTGGATGCTGTGTTTCCTACTGTGAGCAAAATGGACATTCAAAAGTATCAAGATTTTGCTCGGCAGTGTGGGCAGTTTGGTTAGAAAATGTGTGCCACGTAGAAACTGCGGAGTTAATATTTTTACCAGTATGTTTTAATTTAACACACGTGGTAAAAGAAATCCATGTGATTGGCTTTTTAATTGGGAAAGTATGAAGAATTGGTTTGATTTAAAGTCATGCAGTAACTGTAGTATGTAAGACACTTTTATTGTAAGAGCATAGCCATAGATTGTTACCATTGTCTGACATGTGTTTTACTGGCCCTTTGCTGATATTTTTTGCGGCCTTCCAGAGGTCTCTCTCTTCAATTCACTACTTGGCGCGGATGTGCAGACATTGATCGTGTGCAAAAGGTGAAGCGTTTAATAAAGAAGGCAGGCTCACTTATATCCGAGACTTTTGTGTCTTTTATTTTTCTCTCTGATCACTCACTGGCGCATCTCGTGTATTCAATCTCTTTCTTGCAACAACGGTCAACAATTAGGAATAACTTTCGCGTGTTTTGATTTCAAAGCAGGTGGGAAAACGCATTTCCCTATGAGAATGCAAAACATTTAAATTCTTATTTTGATAACAAGTGATAACATTTTATGGAGGGACGCTGCCCACCTGGACAGAAATCAAAGCGCACAAAATAGAATTAGAAAGTGAGGCCGGCCTCCTTGTAAGTGGTGAAGATCTTCTCGATCGAGTTGACGTAGGCGGCCGTGCGCAGGTTCAGTCCCAGGTTATACTTGAGGGCCGTCTTCATGATAGCCCTGGCCGATCGCTCCATCGTGTAGTCGAGACCTGAGTGGACGATGTCCTTCTCGGAGGCGCCCGAAATGCGCTTCTGGAAGGAGTCGCTGGGGGTGACTGGGATGCGGCCGCCCACCCTGCCGAAACGCCTCTCCAGGGACTCCTGCACTGACTCGAGCAGGTGGTAGTTGGACTCGCGCTCATACTTGAACGTAAGACGGCCATATGAGACGTGGTTCAGGTTCTTGAGCCACTCAAAGAAGGACACGGTTACACCACCGGCGTTGATGTACAAGTCGGGAATGATCAGGATGTTGCGGTCGATGAGGATTTTGTCAGCGGCAGGGGTGGTCGGCCCATTGGCTGCCTCGCAGATGATCTTGGCGTTGATTTTGGACGCATTCTCTTTTGTGATGACTTTCTCAATGGCGGCAGGCACGAAAATGTCACATGGCTCGAAGATGAGGTCCTCGCCTTCATAGGGTTTGGCTCCGGGGAAGCCAACAATGGTGCCGTGCTCGTTTCTGTAGTTTTCCAGTTCCTGCAAATTTCAAATTATTTAAATAAGAAAAAAACAACGCTAGTTTTTGTTTATGAATGATTAATTTGTTTAAAAAATTAAGCACATCTGCTATTTAATGACATATTACTGATTGGTAAAAAAAATTGATGGCCAAATTCGGATAATTTTGATTTTTTGAAATATTTTCAGAGTAGCTGAGTAAGTTCTATTTAAAATATGGAGAAACAAAGGAAGAATAAAGATTTTAATTCATTTAAACTTAATAAATAACAGTTCCTTGTACAGAGAATTTTGAATTATTAGCTTTTTTTAAACTCCCTTCCAAGGAAATGTAAAAAAAAATGAGATCTAAAAAACTTTTGACAAAACACTCACCATCAGTAAAAATTTCAAATACAAATTTTAACTACCAATGGCTTTTTGATTTAAGAGTTAATATGGGATTTCAGCACACTTTAATTTAAATAATAAGTGTAAAAAAATAAAACACTCAGAATGTTGCTTCACTTTTCATGAAATGCATGAAAAAAGAATGACGGATTGAGCTTTGTCTGGTGCTTTGGAACACAGCCAATGTTGTGTGTTTTGCATTTAGACAGGCAGATACTATAAATAACTTTTCTAAGAAATTATTCTACAATATTTGCTTCGCTCAAGCAGAGTAATAGTGGAGAAGTGATACCTTGGAGCATAATTTTGATCAAATTTCTAATATTATTGGTAAAAGATGTTCAAGTCATCGAGACAGTTTGACCACTGCTTGGTTAACTCCGTCATAGTTGCAGAATTTTGGCGGTGGGCCATACAACTATTGGGACAGCAGCCGAAACAATGGCCAAGTAGTATACATTAAAAATTCTTCAAAGCCCGAGTAGAGCAAACAGTGAGCAACACTTGTGATTGGCATTCAAATCTAGTATCGTGCAATTACGCCCACTGGACGAGCCCTTTTTTGATCCACTCTTTCTCTACCTTGGGGTCAATGCCGTTGGGGTTGAAGATGGAGCCGTCGTACTCCTTGACTCCAATGCAGGTGGCTCCTGCCCTGTGGAAGTACCTCATCGTGTGCAGACCCACATTACCAAAACCCTGCAAGTTAAAATTTTAATATTTTTGTCCCAAAGATGAAATTGAAATACTAACCTGGACGATGAAAGTCTTTCCGCCCCAGCCGGGGGTGGTACCGATCTGGCTCATGTAACCGGCCTCCATGATGAAGTTCTCGAGTCCGTGGAAGACACCTCGACCAGTGGCGGAGATGCGGCCGTGAATGCCACCCTGGTTGATGGGCTTGCCGGTGACGCAGGCGTGGGCGTTGATGTCCTGGTGGCCAATGGTCTTGGCGTATGTGTCGGCGATCCACGACATTTCGCGCTCGCCAGTGCCCATGTCAGGCGCAGGAACTGTAAAAATATTCCATTTTTGTAGCTCAAACTAAGAATTCTAAGAGCATTAAAAACAAATAAGATATTTATTTCATGGTTTAGACAAAAAAGTGGAAATTGTGAATTTGTAATAATCGTTCTACAACATGAAAAAGGCTGAAATGAACTAACAATAAATTATGTGCTTTAATTATTCTGAGAAATGAAAAATGTGAATTTACCGTCAATGCCAGGTCCAATAAATCCCTTCTTGGCCAACTCAAGGGTGAATCTTCTGGTGATCTTTTCGAGTTCGTGTTCGGAGTAGAGCTTGGGGTTGATTTTGACGCCGGCCTTGGCACCGCCGAAGGGCACGTCCACGCAGGCACACTTGAAGGTCATCAAGGCGGACAGAGCCTTGACCTCATCGCGACTCACATCAAGGGAGTAACGAATACCTGAAACACAAATAATTCAATTTTAGAACTGATTGTTACAAAATGAGTTATTTTTTTAATTTTAAGGATAAGCAATAAAAATAAATATTTTATATAGATCTTTCAAAGACAAACACAATTAGTTTAATTTCAAGCATTAGAATTTATCAATTCATATAAAATATTAAATGTTTTAATGTCTAATGAACGTGAGGACATTGGCTCATAATTAATTAATTGCTTCAGTTTCTATTTTGGCTGTATTATTGTTGTTGTGATACCAATGATTTATGATAATATGATAAGGCATCACGTAATAATAAGATTATGTTAAAAATAAAACAAACAAACAAACCAACTAACCAGAACAACCATAAAATTAGCATCATGCACCAGAAGTAAAAAAAAATATAAAATGCAAAAAAAGATCAACCATTCAAAACTTAAAACTGTGTGCCAATCAACTTCTTTTCGCTCATCACTGGGCTGGTATCAATAAAACATTTGTAGGTTTAAAGCAGTTAAAATCTATCAATATAAACATAGTTTAATCTTTTATACATTTTTATTGAGACTAAAAAATAGCACGCGAAAATTTTATTAGAGTAAAAATATATTGGCAGGCAAAAATTGAAATATCAATAGTTTGTACATTATTATTTCTAAATGTTTATATTGAGTAGTTGTGCTTTAATGCATGTATGTTGAAAAATCATTGAGTCAGTCGATAAATAATCTTTTAATTCAATATCAATAGTTATAAAAGGTAATAATTTATAATATCGTTCGTAGCAACTATTATAACAAGTAATTACTTTTTAATCACCTTCTTGATGCGTAAAAATTTGCACTTTACTCTTTACGTGGTACGAAAAAATTAGGCCAGTTGTAGCATAATGATTTTTAAGAGGAAATTATCGTCCCACGCGAGGCGCTGAAATTTTATAGCCCCATGGCACCATCTCTCTGCCGACAGATAAGAACAAGTTTGAGGGCCACTATCAGATTTTTCTGTTTTAGCGTTTTTTATCAGCAAACTCGAGCTCAAGTGTCGAAATCTACCCTCATGCTGCTTTCGAGCGAAAAACGAGGCCGAGAAAGAAACCCGCCAACGGTGTTTGTTCCCAGGCAAAATTCAATTATCTTTTATTGCTTGGCGAATTCTGCTGGTTATTTGAATAATTGCAGTTGGCCAACATCTAATTTTACAAATCCAACGTCATTCCAAAAAATTATAATGGCAAAGAGCATTGGGCAAAAGCAGCTCGGAGCAAAAGGAATGCCCTGAGATGGAAGTTTTTGATGTGATGCTGGGCCGCGAATGGTGCACATTTAAAAAACGCGAATGCTGGTCACGTTCAATTTGGTTTTATTGTTGCTGGGCATTACGTCATTATCTGTGTGCGAGCGGAGGCTTGGTTCGCATTCGGATTGGCTGGCGGACGATCCTCCGCGGCACAGACCGACCGGTTGGCATTGAAACTCGCTAATTTTAGCCTTTAAGCCAAGCTGCCTCAAAAGCAGCGCCGCAATTTCGACGTTTGGGCACAATTTTCAACACAAATACTCTAATTCATATTATATTTTAAAAACTAAAATCTTTACAAGCACATTTAAAAAGGATTATCACGTTTTAATAATTATGAATAATTAATTTAATATTTGCATCGATTTGCATTGATTTTTTTAATGCATGAAACAAGAATATTTCAATTTATTGAAAGTAAAAAAAACCTTTTAAATAATTTTTGCTCTAAAATCTATTTTTTGAATTTTTATACTTTTTTTGTCGTTTCAGATTATTAATAAATTTATTGTTAAAGCTTTTTTACCTTATAAATAAAAATAATTGCTTTTTTTTACATTGATTACTTTTGAAACTTTACAAGAGAACTTGACAAATTAAATACGAATATTTGAGGCTCGTTTCGGCATGAGACTTCTTCTTGATTTCGAGTGTTTTAGCAAAATGTTTGCTAGAGGCGGCGCCTTTTCTTGTCCAAAAACATTTCCCTCCCAAAAATTGTTATCTCAATTTTTCTGTGATCTGTGCATATAACATATGTAATATTTGTCGGACAAGAATAAACAACAATAATAATAATAATAATATTTATACAAAATTTTTATTTTATTAAAGAATGTTCGAATTATTTGTTTTAAATTTCCATTCAGTAGTAAAAAACTTTTAAATATTTGTTTTTTAGAGAGAAATTCTCGGTATGTAATAATGGATAACATGTTGACAAATTTGCAAAGATTTGATAAAAAATACAACGTTAGCAAGTTAAAAAGTGCTAAAAATTTAAATTTAGAACCTCTGGTAGTTTCTGTTTGAAATTATAAAAATGTCCAGGCCACTTTGGAGAGGTGCCCGCATGCATTTGGGTTGCACCGCACGCAGTCTGAATTTTTGGGTGGCGGGTTGCGAGGCCCGAACGAAAATCGAATTAGCGGGTATGTGGGTCAGGCAGCGCAGTCAGCTGAGCCGCGGCGTGAAATAAAAAAAAGACCGGACGGGCCTCCGCCGATCGATTAACACCCTCGGTAAAAACAGGGAGTGCGTGACCAATTAGGAGATTTAGGGTCGCATGATTTCGTTTTTAGCGTACTTGTTTGTCCCATCAGCCGTCAATTATATTATATTTGGCGCGTGATTTCGCAAGTGCCAACAACAAGAAAAGAGGCGTCTTGTGACTCGAGTCTTGAGCAATCGATACAGTGCACAATTAGACACGCTGAGGATGAAAAGCTTTGCGGATTTGCCAATCTTTCATTTTGAAAAAAATTACTGCCGATTTAAAATAACATTTCATAACACAAATAAGAGTTGAGCAGAGTTTTAAATAAAAAATTAATTAATTGATTTCTCAATTGTTGCTAATTCAGATTCAGATAATATTTGTACCGTATAGATCAACACATTTACAGAAATAATCTTTGGAATAGGTTATGAAAAAGACATATATAACTAATGATTGGCATATTTCTCTAGAAAAAGCATAAAGAATATTTTTCACGGACATGCATGTTCACCACATAAATTGAAAGTAAATCGTTTTTGAAAAAAAATCGTAGAGTAAAGTCATGTACGTAATTCGCCATTGAGAAGTAGAGGTCAAGAGAGGAGTCAAAAAGGACCAAAAAGGTGGTCATATGGGTCATTGTGATTTTTTTTATAAAACAATGATTATAGGAATTGAGCGATCTCATTGCTCCACAACGACCCTCCACCCACGAAAGTGGGAGACATCATTTGAAAGGTCAAGTCACAAGGAGTAGATTTACGGTGAATAATACTAACAATAAGGTCTTCGGGAAATTTTTTTTAAAAAAAGTCAATTTTAGGGTTTCAGATTCAGTTTTTTACTTCTTTGGTCCCCTAAAAGTTTAGTTGGCCAGCAGTTTACTTTGAATTTTAGAGAGCAAAATAAAAGCCTGAATATAAATAAACTCTTTTTTACATGAGGTATTTTTTTCCTTCGGCGAAGTGCGACGTCGCAGTTTTGCAGCGCCGCCCGAGTTTCCTGATCTATTTCTGAAGTTTAACAACTGAATCAACCTTTTATTTATAAATCTTCTTTCGACTTTCGTTCACCCAGAGCACGGATGGAAATTCTTGGCAGCGGATTGTGGGAACACCCTCCCCTTTTTTATTTCAAGTGGGATCGGAGGCAAGAAACTTCAAGAAGCTCTGCAGTTTAAAAAATGATTTTTTCAGTTTGCAAAAATGTTAAAAATATTGGAATTAAGTGCATGAAACTTTGACGGTATTATTGTCCTCTTACGAAATTACGTAGTAAATTTTCACAACACAAGACGGAAATCCTGTTGCTGCAAAAATTCTTATCTCATACATTCTGTTGGCCCTTTGAGTTTTAGCCTGTTTTTTTTCTCTCAAGCGAAAATGAGCTGTAATCGCAGTTTAGCCAAACGAGATCGTAAAAGACAATAAAAAAGCGACCAAGGCCACCATCCACAATATTCATGCGTCTCTCGCGTTTCTGCAGCGTGCGAGAAAGAAATAAAGGCAGACGAGTGCCGGAGCCGTGATGCCAAAATTATTTCCGCAGCGGCATCCGAGTTCTGTTGCCAGTCAAGTGTGCGTCGAAAATTGTTTTGTACTTGGGGAAATGCGGCGTGAGATTCAAATTTATGTATATATAATTCATTCGAATTTCGAATTTTTCTTGATAAAATTTGTAAATTTAAATTTAATCAGTTAATATTGAAATAAAAATATGCAATTTTTAAATTGCAAGAAACAACATAAGGAAATAAAATTTTTTGAGGTTAATGTGGAAATATTCTCAAATACAAATTAAATGCCCCTTTTAGAGGAAAAATTGGGATTTAGCATATTAACAAGTGAAAATTGAAAATTTGCCTTTAAAAAAATAAAAGGGTCACTTCAAACTTGATAATTATTTTGTTTTTATATATATTATATTTAAATTAACCTAAAATTAATTCCAGAGCTTTAAGCAAAAAACGAAATGTCATACTACAAATTACTTTTCAACTCTTCTCTTCTCACCACTGTTTTACTTTTTTTAATGATTAAACACAAACAAAATTCATGCTTTTGTGATTATTTTTTTTTTGCGGATTTGTGACTGACCTCCCTTGCAAGGCGTGCGGTGGGTGGAGTGCTGGGCGCGGTAGGCCTGGATCATCTCGTACTCGCCGGTGTCCCTGCGGATGGGGAAGGTGATCTCGATCACGTGGTCGCACGGCTCCATCAGGTTGAGGATGGCCTTGACCTTTTCCTGCCTGTCCCGGTCGGACATGCGGTGCTTCATCATGGTCTCGAGCAGATGCGGCTCGGCCACCTGGCACGCGCGGTGGAAGTTGTACTCGACCATCGAGAAGAACTTGGGGTTGAGCGCGTCCGGGATGTCCTTCAGCCTGTCCGGGATCTGGTGCTCGGCGGGCGCCGAGGTGGACATGTGTTTGTGCGACTCGGCCGAGGCGGCCAGCCGGCGCATCGGGGCACCCAACGTCCGAAGGCGAAGCATCTCGTTCGAGCGACTGTCCCGGACTGTCTGTCTGTCAGTCGAACCAACCGCGGCTCAGCTGGTCTTGGTGAATCTCGAGGGTCTACCTGCAGGACCGAGGGCGCCACCGAAGTCGCTCGCAGCCACCGATCGAACCGCACGGTTCCGCTCAACGGACACACGGCGACGCCTGCCGGACACACGCACAAACAAACCCACCCACTGTTGCCAACCGCACACGTGATTGAGTGTAGAAAAACTAAATAATAAAAATGAAAAATCTAAAAGTAACAAAAATAATGATAAATAAATAAAATGAAAAAAACGAAGGATTTAAGCATGTGAAAAAAAATATAATTGAATAATTTTCAATTATGTTATTATTATTTATTGATACATTGCATCTTGCTTCTTCTATTCTAAAGACCGAAAAAAACTGGAATAAAAAAATAAGTTTTTAAATTGAAAATGATTAAAATACTCTTTTTGGCGTTTGTCTTCCATTGAAGCAAAAAAAAAAAATACTTATTAAATATGTTAATTTGAAATTGAATAATATAAAAATTTACAATTGATGAAATTTATGATTGAAATGAAACGCGTACGCAAACAATTAAAAAACACCCGATTTTAACCCTTCTGTAATTTTTTTTTTTAATAACAGCTAGGGCTTTAAAATGTTAATACGTTTTAATGCTGATGCAGGATTTCCGCATTTCTGTGCAGTGTACCTTTTGCGACGTAATTTTACCATGAATTGAGCACTTCATTTTTGGATAGACAATTCCAAGAGGGAATAGAGATAGGTCACCGTTTAATTTTTTAATCAAAAATTAATTCGAGCTCTATAGCTGCATTCAAGAATCATTTAAGCAATGTGATTTTAGTCAATGACTTCCGTGAATTATGATTGCCAGCCATTCGTCAACAGAATTAGTTGACATTATTATGACATTCGGCATAGTGCTTTTTTGCAAGAAACACTCCAGTGTTGAGAAACAAAAGGGTTGGGCGGCAGTCAATGATCCAGCTGCAGCTCATGAGGGTTGACGACACCGCGCATTCAGAGAAAATTGGAGCCGCCGCTGCAATATTGTTGCGCACATATGGTGAAACATGCGCAAAACAAGAAGGTGTTGGCCAGAAAAAAATAAAACACTCACTCTTCAACATCGTCGCCATCGTCAAATAATTGTATACAAAAATTAAATGTTTTGGTGAATTAAAAAATTAAAAAATATTAAATATTTCTATTAATGTTCTTAACTTACATAACATAATAAAATTATCAAGCATATGAAAAATTATTGTAATTGATTTAAAATGCAATATATTTTTAACTTAAATAATTATTTGAAATTGAATCTGATATCTCAAAATTATATTTATTTTTATAAATTATAATAATTTTTCTGGCTTTTATTTTCATGACCGATTATACGTGGCTAACATAATTCTTCTTAAATTAGCGCCTGAAATGCGCGAAATTATGCAACCTGCTCAGCTTCGCTGGCGAGCAGGTTGCATATCGCAATGCAAGAACGTCAAACATTTTGCAAGTGTGTTGGGAATTGTGTGTTAGTTGCAAGGCAAATACAGCATCACGGAGCTGATTTTGCACTTTGCACGTGCTCCCCGTGCTAAGTAAGGGAACCTATATTTGCATTGGAAGGTGCAGGTTTGGTTGTGGAGCTGCGCGCACGATCTCGCGAGGTCAAGTTGGCAGCAGTGCGGGTCAGTCGCCAGCCAGCAGCAGTCGCAGTCTTTTGCAGCAGCCGAAGCCAAACAGCAGCTCGGAGGAGGATGGCCGATGTTTTGACGACGGGCAGCTGATTCGGCCCTTCGACATGCCCGTGACCCGCAAGGTGCGGCGCGACCATAGTGAGGTCAGCTGCTGCCTCAAGTACGTCATCTTCGGCTCGAACGTCGTCTTCTGGGTGAGTTAAAAGTGCAGCACAAGGAAGAGGGGGTCGATCGGGCCCCGAGGGGTCCACTGACCCCGAATCGGAGGACGCGGATTCTGGGGCCTGGCGATGGCAGGAGGCCTCGGGGGGCGCGAGACCAGGTCGTTTGGGACGCAGGGGCTGTTGCTAGGGGGTGGGCCGAAGGTCAATGGCACAACACACAGAGTACTTCGCATTTGCAATGAAATTGTCTCCCCGCCTCACTGCTCATTTTAATTACATATCATTATTATACAAATTTTATCTCCTTCCTTTTTTTTAATTTTATTATAACGAATGCAAGTGCACTGTTGTATTTTGTGCATTTCATTTTACTTCGAAAAAAAAAAATAAAAAATATATTAATATTAGAAACAATAATATGTAGTTTATTTATTTCTGTAATAAATTTTATCTTAATTTTCGCACGAAATTTATGAACGAAATCGATTCAATTTCGTAAGCAAATGAAACGTGAAATGCGTCTCAATTGCATGATTTAGCCCAACAAGTATAGCGGAGCGTGAACTTCTCCAACAGTCAGTGACGTGTGTTTTATGGAGGAAAATTGCTCAAAGCGCATTTTCTTCTTTAATACCACCTTGACTTAATTCTCATATTAACTTGCGATCGAATGATTTTTATCTTTTAAGCTCCACTTTCAAGCCAGCCTTGTGTTATATTCATTGGCAAGAATATTAAATTTGTAAAAATGATCGCAATAATTGTAAGATAATTTTTAATTTTTTAATTATTGGATTTCCTTTTTTTATTGATTCTTGACGGAGAAATTGTTCCTGTAATGGAGCGAATGTGGGTAAAATCTCTCGCGAATGAGTCAAGTGCCCTTATTGGGAAAAGTAACGGGATACAGTTTGCGCTCTCTGCTGCGAGCTCTCTCTCAAGACTCTCGTATTTTAACTCCCACGCTGCTCAACAAGCGCATATAAAATTATTACCGCACACTCAGGGCTAACTGCAAACCAGAGTGAGAGGACGAAAATTGTATCCATTGAAATTAAATTGATCAACCTCTAACAAATAGTTTCGACTGAAATTTAAAATATCAAATAAAATAAACAAAATATTTCATTTTTTAAATTATGAAAATCCTTAAAGGGATTTCTAAAGTTTAAAATAAATAATCCAAACTGAACTTTTTTCAATCATTCATTGTGAGAGGATTAAAAACATGTACTGATTATTCATTTCTAAGATTAAATAGGGAATTTATCAGATTTCAAACTATCCATAGTGGACGCCATCTTTAAATAAAAGGTGGCAAAATATTTTTATCAGTTCCCGTTCAAAGGTGGCTATTCAACATATCGTTGGAATCCTCCTGACGAGATCTTTCTCTTCCTTGGGTGATATTTTCATTTTAAAAATAATTTTAAAATTTATTTCCATTAGAAGATTTGGGGTCGGCTGACCGGAACTAGTTTTTATTGCTCCTGTTGATGGAGCACTTGAGTTAATTTCTGCCCCGTCTGCTGACGAGTCCCCTCGCTTGTCATCCAGTGCAAATAAAAAAATGTGGGTGCGCTCGGTGTATATCGTGTGTCATGTGGGCCGCAAACGGCCTCTGCACAGCTTGAGTATCATGCTTGTGTATTAGAGAGACCGACCAACTGCTGCTCGCAAACACTTGTCGCCGGCAGTGTTTGTTTTTTAGCAGATTTAATGGAGAGCCACTCGACGCTCTTTTCGCGACAATTAGCCGCGGGGGAGGCGCCACAAAAAATGTTCACTTCCTCTTTGGTGTTGCAGCTGATCGGCCTTCTGATCCTGGCCATCGGGTTCTGGGCGTGGAGTGAAAAAGACACTTTCAACAACCTCAGCCGACTGGCTAATGTGGCTCTCGACCCTGCCTTTTTGCTCATTCTCGTAGGCAAGTAGAAACATAAAAATTGAAAAAGCCTGAGTTGCTTTTTTATTGTTTTAAATATTAAGTTCATTAAAATTTTCTCAAATTTGTATTTATTGTATAATTTAAGTTTAAGTTTATTAAAAATTATCTACCCGCCACAATTTTTGTAAAAGTTGACAATTTTTTCCCTTTTTTTTTCTATCAATCGCAACAATCAATGTTTTATTCGGTTTTATTTGAGTCCTTGCAAGAAGAAGACTTGAGCTGTTTGTTTTTCTGCTCCACCAAGTATTGACTAAGATTTTTCGTAATATTTTTCCATTATTACCTTTCAGGGTTGATGACTTTTGTGATTGGCTTTACGGGTTGTGTTGGCGCCCTGAGGGAGAATTCCCGTCTCTTAGCATCGGTGAGTCAATTCAAAACATCTATCGAATTTTGTAACAAAAATATTTTTCATTTCCAGTATGCCATATTCCTGGCCATTATTTTACTACTCGAGATGACAGCCGGCATCCTAGGCTTCATCTTCAAAGACTGGGTAACAGTTGAAAGTTTTGCTTTGAAAATTAAATCCTATCATTTTTGTCTAGATCAAGGCTCAGGCCACTGGGGGCTTCCAAGCATTTATCGTTCACTACAGAGAAGACCCTGATCAACAGAATCTTATTGATTGGATTCAGGAAGATTGGGTAAGAAAATGAATTTAAATTTTGTAGTTGAGATCAAATATTTCAAAATAATTTATTTTCCAGTTGCAATGCTGTGGTATCGAAGGCCCCAAGGACTGGGACAAAAACAACTATTTCAACTGTTCCTCCCGAGAGGTGGGCAGCAGAGAAGCTTGTGGAGTGCCATTTTCCTGCTGCAAACCTAAGCCAAACGTGAGAAGTTTGTTTTGATTTGGAAATTGCATCAATTTAAATTGAACTTTATCAATCTAGGAAATTATCAAGAACAAACAGTGCGGTTATGATGTTCGGAAACCAGGATATGTGAGTAAAATTTGAGGCTTAAGAAATTTCTAGACTAGAAGCTGCTTTGCAACTGAAAATAGCTAAAAGCGCATTCAAAAATTTATATTTAACTGTAATTGGCAAAAGCTTGGTGTGAATGACTAACCCTTGTGCCTCTGGTCCGCCCCTCAGCCGGCCGAGCGGCACATTTACGAGCGCGGTTGTCTGCGCACGGGTGAGGAGTGGCTCGAGGCTAACCTGGTGGTGGTGTGCGGCGTGGCCGTCTGCCTGGCAATCACGCAGGTAACTAAACCCTTGTTTTTTCGCCCCCAGTTCGATGGGACGGCCATTTTTGAGCGCGGCTGTCTGCACGCGGCCGAGGACTGGCTCGAGCGAAACCTGATCACGGTGGCTGTGGTGGCAACCACCACTTGCTTCTCTCAGGTACCCTCTACGGGCTCCGAATTTAGGGTCGCCTAATTTACCCGCAATTTCCATCAAATGAGCCACGTGGACTTTTGTATTAAATGAGGAGTTGGAAACTTGCAGGAAATATTACTTTTTTAAGAGAAATAGACAAAAAATAGATTATTTAATTTATAGGAAAATTTATTATTAAAGAGTTCAAAAATTAAATAAAAAATGGTGGTCACTTAGTTGACTTTATAGAATCATTTGATAATGATAGGAATAAACGGAACCTAGCATATTTAATTTTCTTGTTTATAATTTCAGAATTGTGGGAATGACGTTTGTTTTTCAAATTTTTTGCTTTTTAGGATTTACATTAAAATTGTAACTTTTAAACACTTATCAAATTAAGCTGTAAAAACTAGTGCTAATTTATTGTTTTTGATGGGTTTTTTTCCTCGTAAAATTGTAGACTTTTTTCCCCTGAAGTTTCGACTCCTTATTTGACCAACTTTGCCGTCAAAGAAACTAAGATAGAATCATTTCAGATTTTGGGCATCTGCTTTGCGCAGAACCTGCGTGCGGACATCTTCGCGCAGAAGGCCAAGTGGCACTGACATTCGAGGGCCCCCACTGCCGTCTAGCCCCGGCGAACGCCGTGGGGCAGCGAGCGACCCCTGTTGCCATGCACAGGAGCCGACCTGCAGTGAGGGCCCGAACACCCCACAATCTGGACCTCTGACGTCCAAACAGACAATTTGAAACAAAAACTTTCTCCTTTTGAGTGAAAGAAAGATGTGCGCGTCCGACTAACGAATCTCCATAGTTCTAATTTTCAATTGACACCTCGGACTTCTTATCCGCAGTAAATGTGTTTACTGCTTTTTCTATGAAAGCTGCGACAACAAGTGGTGAAAACAACTTGCTTTTTGATAAATAATGCCATGCGTGTATATGTTTTTATCGACGATCAAAATGAGATTATCATACATAAGAAGAGATATACTTGAAATTGAGTGTTGGTTTAGAGGGACAGACAAATAATAATTTATTAGTGAATGTACTAATTAGCAGGTAATCAAATGAATTTCCGCTTCATTTTTATAATAGATGATTGTATCAATTCTATCTTAAATGCAATTTTGTTACTTTTATAGACAAAATTTTATTTGTAAATTTCAATTTACGGCGTTTATTCAAGCAATAAGTTTATTTAAAAGACTTAATTGAAAAGAGTTATGATCTGTTAAACAGTTTAAAATAGTTTAATAAAGAACTAATCTGTGAAATCTGATTAGTGTGTAATAACTATGAACATCTCATATTTGTCTCTCATTCAATTCATTATAATACTGGGGCCAATAACTCAGTTTAAAGTGTTAATTTGCAGCTCAAATTATTTATAAATTAACAAACAATTCTATTAAATTTTAAATCGGCTATTTTATGGTTGGGCAAAAATTGATTAATTATCTTTTGAGATAAAGCCTTTTTATTTTGCAAAGGAAGTGAAAAATCAAAAGCAATTCAGTTGATAACTGACATTGGATTTGATAATTTTCTTTGTCAATAATCACTAGAGATATAAATCTGGGAAACCCAAATTTTTTGAACAAGCATGGGAAACTCGCTTTTAGATTAGTTTCTACTTCAGCATTTAAGCCTTCAGTTTGACTTAAAATGTTTCTTGAGGAGGTGCAGTACAAAACAAATGACTACTGGAGATCAAAGCGATTCCAATCTCAAGGAGGAAATAATCGCAAACCCAAAATTGTTTAGTCTGTTGTTGATTTTGTATGACATGTATGATTTTCCAAGGTCTCCTTCAGTCTTCACACGTGCGATTGAATGATTAACCAAGTGAAATTTATTTTCTGATAAGTTTGGCGCCCTATAGACTTTTGCGATGAAAACCACCATGCAAAGTGGCGTTAACTGACGATAACTTTCTATTTTACTATTTCATGAGTACTTGACAATATTACGCGTAAGGCTTTTTTATAATTTCATGTTTCTAGCAAACAATATATCAATTAATGAGAAGTCGGAATAATTTATTTTCAACTTTTTATTCAAAAATTAATTTAGGAAATTACATAATGATATGTGTGTAAACCCATATGACAGCACTCTACAAAAAAATTTAAAAAAAAATTATACATTTTTGCCTATTTGAACATAAAATGGGTCCTCCACCATATATATTCTGCAATGTTAATGAGATTCCACCTTTTCCTGCATCTTTTTTTGCCAAATCAAGCCATAAACTCATTGATAGCTGTGGCAAACTCTTCAGGCTGCTCGAGGTGCGAGTAGTGGCTACCATTAACAATCTGCTGCTGGAAGGAGGTGGCCGCCTTGGCCAAAACCTGCTTGCTTATTTCAGATACTCCTTGCTGCTGTCCCTCGACACTCAGCACCGGACACTTGACCTTAGAGGCGACGGCGGTCTCTGTGCTCTGGAAAAGGTTGTGGAACGCAGACGTTTCAAGCCACGGGGCAGTGGCATCTATGTAGCCGCCGTCCACCTTGCGGGCGGAGCGCTGCAGGAGAACGCGAGACGCCTCTTCAGACAGTCCTCTTTGCTGGTACGTGGACACCAACTGGTCCAGGCTGGACGCAGTGAAATGACTTATGGTTTTTTGTTCCAGGATAGAGTCCACGAGGGCGCCCAAACGGCCAGACATATCCATGCTGGGCACGGACTGTCCGGCGTTTAGCAGAATCAAGCGACCGACCGCATCCGGGTAAAGTCCTGCGTAGAGCAGACCGACGTGGGCGCCGTTGCCGTGGCCCATCAGGGACACCTGCTTGTAGCCCAGTTTGCGCAGGACGTAGCGCAAGGTGAAGATGTTGGAGGGGGAGAAGGTCTGGGCGGCGGGCGGCATGGCAGAGGAGCGGCCGTGTCCGGGTAGGTCGATGGCCACCAGGGGCATGTTCAGCAGCGGCGCCAACTGATCAAAGGAGGCTGCGTTGTCGCGCCAGTCGTGCAGTGCCACAAGGGGCACGGGGCCAGGCTCACCCCACACCTTGACTGCCACTTGACCCCAGGGCACCTCCACCCTGACCTCCTGGTGCGGCTGAGGCTGCGGCTTCAGACGCAGGGACTGACGGGCTTCAAAGTCCGTGTGGAATCGGCGGGCAGCCATGCTCTAAAAATTTCAAAATAAATTTATGTTGAAAATGCTTTATTCTTATAATATGAAATTAACAACGTGAGTTTTTTTTATTTTTTTTTTAAATTAAATTATGATGAATAGTATGAATTGAATACTAAAATTTACTCACTGTAAGTCTGCGAGACATCGTCTTGTTTGGATGGGTTTATGTTGAGACTTATTGCAAGCTCTGCTAGCTCGTAGCTTGAGTGAATATCTATGCAGATCGCACACGTTTTATAGCAAGTTGAAGGAGGTGGCTTATCTGGTCAAAAACCCAGCCAGTGCCGATAAATGGCAAGGCGGACTCTTTCATTTACAAGGCGCGTGATCTCCTTGAACACTAAAATAAGTTTTCTAAAGTCAAGGAGATGGGTAGGAAAACAATCTCCTCGTAAAATGAACTCATGATTATGTCGAAATTGGGATTTTCTGAGGAGAATCACGCCACAAATCTGTATTATTATTGTTCTTGATTGAATTCATGCAATTAATTTCAATTTGCTTACTCTGAATAAATGTTTTGCAACTTGTTTAAATGCACTTTATTTTTTTTTTTTCAAAACTACACTTTAATTTTTTTGCTTCAATCTTAAAACTACAGGCTGAACATAATTAAAAAAAAATTGCTGATTCAAACACAATAAATTGGTAAAATGTGCCAATTTTGGTGGTTCAAGCAAAACAAAGTATATAATATATTTTTGGTACTTTTTTTTATTATTATTATTTTAATGCAATAATGCTGCTGCATAGGAGCATAATAAATTATTTTGTTTTTTATCTCCACATTTCATATTTATCTACAAAATTTTTAATTTATGGCGTTGCATAAATAGCTAGACTATAAAAAAGCCAAAGAAATTATAGTTATCAAGTGAATAAATACAAAGATATACAAAGGAATTTAAAAAATGAACTAAATAAAAAAAATATGTATATATATACAGCTTTATTTTGAAAAAAAAAATATCTATGAGTAATGGAAGATAAAAATTTTTAAAAAAATTACGGATAAAATGTAATTGGCAAATCATGATGTAGTTCAATGGTCTTTCATTAAATAAGGGGCTTGCCCAATGACATAGAGGGTAGATAGAGGTTACAGTTTGAGGAGGCCAATGTCTGCTGATAAGAGAAACCAGATTTCGCAGGCTAAATCTAATTGATGCGTATGCTGGGGAATCCCTATTTATCTTATTGTAGTATAGCTGGAGCTTCGTAATCGGTGCAGTTTCAAAACAAAGAAATTGCACAAAGGGCTTTTTATAAAATCAAAGTTTGATTAAATTGATTTACGTTTTAATGATTAAAACGCAAAAGTAAAAATCCCGGTGATTAATGTGATATAAAATTGAGGCGCATCTTAAAATAAACGTACTTTTTGCTTGGAGCAGATATTTATTTTGCGAAATTCTTTACAAAACTATATAAAAAAAGTATTTATAACACGTATATTTCCACAAATACAGTTTTGAGCACAAATCAATTACCATCCTCCGTGGAGGAGAGACTTCTTGAGACCGATGATCCTTTCCAAGGGAGAGGGGTAGTAAGAGGTCTTGATGACGTAGGTCTTGGGCGCCCAGCCGCTCGAGTAAACCTTGGGAGCCCAGCCGCTTGAGTAGACCTTGGGAGCCCAGCCGCTTGAGTAGACCTTGGGAGCCCAGCCGCTTGAGTAGTACGAAGGAGTCCAGCCGCTGTAGTAAGACGGCCAGCCATACGAGTACTGCAATCAGATTTATTATTTGCAGATTTTTAAAAAAAAATTTAAGGCCCACAGAAGAAGACATTTTTGACTAGATGAACCATAATATTGCTTATCAAACTAAAATATCAATTATCTTTAGTGCATTGAATATTTTCATGCACCTTAATTGTAATATTTATACCTAAATGGGTAAGTGAAGATTAATAATTAAATCTTTTTTGATTACAAATTGATGTCGCGCTCAATGACACAATCGGGAAGAGAAAAACAAAAGCTTGTTTTAGAATATTTTATTAAAGAAATATGTTGGTAAACAATCAATAAAATAATGTACTTTAAAAATAAATATTTGAATTTCAAGTTATTTGATCGAAAATGAAAATCAAATCTGAATAAAAACATTTAGATTGCGTATGCACTTTTAAAAAACCGATTTACAATTTAAACGATATAATTAATTTAATAAATAATGAGTATTTAATTTTTTATAATATAAATAAATCAATATAAATGTTGAATTTGTAAGAAGAACTCACGGTGCTGGGCCATCCTCCGGCGTGGGCCTGGAGGACGACGGCGCAGACGACGAGGGCAAAAAGAGCAAGACGAGCCATCAGGGGGATTTGAGTTGCAGTTGCAGACAACACTAGACGCCGGTCAGCGGGCAGCTTTTATACCTGGCGAAAGTCTTCCTGGATGCAGCACTCTGGCTGACCATGATCTGCATTCCCTCCCCATCTTGTGCATGGGAATATCGTACTAGTACTATTAAATAATAACAAACGTTACGCATTAATTGATGCGTTGAGGCGCGTCCGCCGAGGGTCGCTCTCGGGTCGCTCTCGGGTCATGGCGTCGCGATCTTTTCTTTGACAGATGGGTCGGATAGGTGAGATCAGTATCATCACCTATCTTAAACTAATTGATAACAAATTATGGGATATTTTATTTTAAATAAGGTTTATTGTGCAAAGAAACACCTACACTCAATATTCAATATTAAGTGATGATAAGATTTAAGGTTTTCGGCCATTCTTTGCTGAAAACAACAATTTGGAGAACTGATTCGAAATTCACATCATCATTATTATTTTTTGTAAGTTTTTTTTATAATTTTCTTTTTAAAGTACTCACTTACAAGCTCACAATTGAGTTTTTATGTTATAGAAATTTCAACACCCCATTTTTAATTTTTCAATTTAAGAATTATTAATTGATAATAAGCCTACTTTGATCTTTTTCACACCAAAATCTCACCTTATATGTTTAACCCAATATTTGCGTAACAATATCAGCTCAATAGCATGTTTACTTCCAATGAAAACTAAAAAACATATAGTTTTTGCATAATTGACTTAAAAACTCGAAAAATTAGATGATATTTTTTTAAATTTTGATTAAAATCTTGAGCAGTTGTTGAAACCATTTTAATGTTGAAGAAAATTTGAATTATTGAAGCAAGTGGATAGGCCACTCCTCAGGCGGCTTAATTGCATAATAAAACGGTATGAATTAGCGCAATGCATTTGTGTGCAATGAGAAAGTGAAGCGACCTGGGGGCATCTCTTCTCGTGTGTCCCGCTCTCTAGAGTGCATAACTTTGGTCCTTAGTAATGCAGTTGTTTGTGCCGTGCAGCAGGCAGGTGCATAGGAAACGAGCGAAAACCGGGCCTTGCACCATTTCACCAATAAACGCCCTGTCTGCCATGTGACTTGTTGCACAAACCTCAAGTGCGGGGAAAAATAATTTATTCCACTGCATGCCTGTAGGACTAAATTGCTCCAACTATTACCTTTGAATTTTTATTACAAATTTCCTTCAAAATGATTTATTTTTAATTCTATCAATTCAATTCATATAATTATTATTCTATCGAAACAATAACTTATATTTTGAAGCAACGAGAAAAATGATGCTGTATTACTATTTATTCTTATTCAAATATGGCTCTTATCAATCATTATTTAAAATTAACCCAGATGAATCATGAAAATTATATACAAAAAAAAAAACAAGATTAAATTTTATTTCTTGTAATATTTTTTTCTAAAATAAGATTAAGAAATTTAATGTTTTCTTTAATTGATTGCATGCTTTTTTAAATTCTATCATTAATTATTTGACCCCCAAATCTACTACGATTTTTTTACCTTAACCTTTAAATTATTAAATCTTTTAAATTCCGATAAAAGATTAATTACGTTACAAAAATGTGCAGATCTTCAAAAACACGGCGCGAGTTGAAACAGATTGGCATTTAATAAGGAAGCGAAATTTGTCTGCTGAATCAAGCTAATTCACTGTGTACATGATTATTAAATCACCTTTGCAGTTTGCAGACCCAACTTCTAATTGCCATTGGCGAGACAAAGTTGCCCCTATACTTGAAGCTTATATAATTTCTACCGTGGATAATTAATGAAGCTCGAAGCGATTTGCATACCTTAAAAGAAAATCACGCAAAGCCGTGTGTTAAGGCTGAGTGGCGTTGTGACTTGCAGCAAGCCAGAGCAAGCAATAAATTTACAGGGTTTTATACATAATTATTTGGACCTGACGCGAGTTTTTCTTCTGCTGGCGGCTACAAAAGTTACGCTTATGCCATAAATTTCAGCTGGGCAATGTGGCAGATTTTTTTCACAGATCATTCATTGGGATTTATTTTTTAATATTCAAAGCCAAGGAGATAACAGAGAATTTATGCTTTGTATAATGCGATCAAATATTAAAAACTTTCAGATTTTTTTCTTTTTTAAATTATCATTTAAAAATGCTAGACATCAAATATAAAATTTCAGCAGAAACTGAGTACCCAAAAAAAAAAAAAAATAATAAATAAATAAATTGAGAGAAACAAAATACTTTATTTTGAAAGTTTCTTTAGTTGAAAATGTGGTTTAATATTTATAATTACATTTTTTTGCTGTAGGTTATGGTCTAAATTGACTAAAATGTTCTCCAAGAAACAAGAATAAGTGGTTATTTATCACAGCTTCAATATGCATGTTCATTAATTTATAAATTATTAATATCAAAAATTAAGTAAACAAAAAAAACTCTTAAATATAATAAAACCTCTGGCGTAAAATTGTAAAATAAAAACAGGCAAGGGTTTAAATTTTAGGATACATAAATATCCTGGTGGCTACTTTTATTAGGAGACACAAATTCACAAGCGAGATGATCATAATGTTTCAGCAATCAAAATAATAATCAACATGTAGAAAAATAAATTACAGATCAAATGGTGATTTTCGTTTTCCATCCGCAATACAATAATTAAAATGAACAAGAGTCCCAGCTCCACACGCACTCACTCTCACACATTCGCAGTATCAAACGAGATAAAAAATAAAATAAATTTAATAGTGACTAAGAAAAATTTTGACGCCCTGTCACGCGTCCAGTCCGCTTTTCATTTGAGAAAATACAAATCAAGGACAGAGAGAGTGAAATTTGCAAATCACAGAAAACGTCACGCGATGGCCAGTCTGCGCATACGCGACTCGATGGGCTCCATGCGGCTGACGCGCCACGCGCCGCCATCTTGGCGCTCGCGCATCACGACGACGCTGCCCTCGCGCGAGAGTTCGACGCGCGTGCGCATCTGCGCATGCGCGTCGCCACCGCTGAAGACACTACGCGCACGCGCAAAGGCCCCCGGCTGACGCACGCCCGCCGGACTGCGCGCCTGCTGCAGCAGCTGTTGCCGGAAGAGGCGCGCGTTGTCCCAACTGCACGGCTCCTCGTCCAGGGACACGACGCTGTCCGAGTCGATGGACATGTCAGACACCGAGTCGCTGGTGGCGCTGTCGTCACACTCGTCCAGCACAAAGCACCGCCGTACCCTGTACACAGCGTCCGGCGGGGCTGAAGATGGTAGTGGTGGAGGGGTGTCCGGCAGCGGGGGAGGCGATGACGAAGGCAGTGGTGGAGGCTCGCACAATGGCTCGCATGGCACAGGGGTGAACACGGAGAACCAGCGGTGCTCCAGGCACTCGGACGCGCTTAAGCGTTTGCTGCAAATTAATAAAAAAAAAAATCAATTAACACAATTAAATTATTAAAAAATAATAAAATATAATATGGAACCTAATCAAAAAATATATTTCACAATTCCTTAATAGTATAAAAAAATAAAAATTAAAAAAAAAACAGGATAAAGGAATAAAAAACAATCAGTATTAATAAAGCAAACTTTCAAACACTTTCAAAATCATTATTAGCTCTGCAGATAAACATTTTTTTTAATTCAACTGTCATATTTGCAGGTTAAACTGAGGTACCCGAACTTATTTATCAATTGATTTTTTACTAAGTATACAAAAATCCAATCAAGCTATTAATCAGCAATTAGCAAATAAAACATAATTATGAAACTTTCATTATTATTACCAATGATAAAATGTCTTATTTTGTGCAGAAATAATTACTATGTTTATGGATCCCATTTGTAAGTTTTGTTTATAATGATTAAAACTTACAATTTCAGGTTTTAATGGTAAATTTTCAATTAAAAAGGCTTTTATAAGTTAACTAACTAATCGCGCCTGATTGTAAATTGATTTCAAATTTCTTTATAAAGGGATTAAATTTGTGGTATATGAGTTAAAAAACCCACGTCTAGAATTTTCACAATTTCAAGCATCCTCCTCAATGTGATTGCAATTTGATAATGGGTTCTAATTTTGTTGAACTTAAGTCCAAAATATTTGTTTTTAATGCATGTTTTTAATTAAAAACCAAAATTTCGTTTCTTTGGGCAACTTCATTATGCACTGCTTTTTTCCCAATTTAAAGCGCAAAAAAATTGAATACTGTTCCATGCAAGCTCTCCTATTGATTTGCAATTAATTTGATAAAATTTGGTTTTTGAAGATTTCGTGAGCTATGTTTTGTTTCCTGGTATGCTCTTTTTTGTTGTCCTGAATCATCTGAATGAGTTTATTTTTAAAATCCAAAATTTCACTTAAATTATTTGATCTTTGATATTAAGAAAAAATGGAACCTTCCTTTTCTTCAAAATAAATATTTTTTAATTAGATTGATTAGATTCATTATTTCCTTTTTAAAAGTATTTTATACTCTTGAAAAAGTTGAGAAAATCTGCATACCTGGGGTCTCGGACGAGCAGTTTCGCAATGAGGTCTTGCGCCTCTAGTGAAACGTCCTCGAAGAGGTCTTCTGGAAAGTCGACTTGGCAGTGTGCGATGTTGCAGAAGGTTTCTTGCTTGGTGTCTCCCCCGAAGGGCGAGTATCCGGTGAGCACCGCGTACAGCAGCACCCCCACAGACCACATGTCCGTCGCCAGACTGATGGGCTCATAGTTGAGCACCTCAGGGGCTAAATTTGTCACGATCGTGAATTCAGGAACATTTGATTTATTGCAAAAACTCACCAACATAGTCAGGGGTGCCGAGGATTTCACGGACGTCCGCACCCTGTCCCACATACCTGGAGATGCCCAGGTCACACAGTTTGACGTCACAGGTCGGCCACTCACCCGTCAGCACCAAGTTCTGAGGCTGAAATAAATTTGTAATAAATCATTCAAACTAGAAAATTTTAACAAAAGTTTAATTCAACATAAAGATGTTTAAAATTATGCGTGTGGTGCAAATATTTAGCTTATTTTATTTTACTTCTTGATATTTTTTTTATATTGATAAATCTATTTCATTTGACTGGTATAGCTTTGCCTTTCTATTCATGTCAATAATTTTTCGCACGTGCAAACAAATTGAATTATTAAAAAATTATTAATTTCAATCAAATAATTTACGTCAAATAAATTATAATTTTATTGCAAAAGTATACTGAGTTCATGGACGGAGCATTTATGATTTATTTAAAAAATTATGTTATTTATTAATTATAATGGAAAATCATGTATTGTTTCAACATCAGCCTTGGAAATTTCGTTTTCATATTTTCTTTACAGCTCAAATAAGAAAATTCAGCAAACACAAAATTCAAATCAAACCCAATAATATGTCAAGTGTTTTAAGAGGATTATATTAACATGCACATGAATGTAAGAACTCCACCCATCAATATACATATTTTTGCATTCCTGAGGTTTACGCGCGTGACTTTGAATAAAAATTAAAATTCTCGCGGTATAATCTACACTAGTCGCGCAGGGGATTGAATTACGCAATGCGCCGTACAAGGCGCGTGTTCAATTAACCGATTGGCTGGGCATAATAATTTTCTCGGCGTCTGTCCGTCACAATTAAGTCATCAATTCTGAGAGGGAGATAAAAATAAAGGCAAAGCAGGCGCCGGCCAAGAAGTAGAGGTTGGCGCCGCACTCGTTTTTTAAATACATCCACTCGGAGAGATAAGTCTGTGTGAGAGGCAAGGGTGCAGACTAAAGAGCAGCGCCATTCACAGCCACCAAATATATATACTATGTATATTATTAAACACGAGAGTACTTTTAAGAAGGGATTGCGTCACTGCGCAAACATTTGCAGCAGCGGCAGAGAAATTTAGCATCCCGTTCGAAAGTGAAAAGCAGGCGTGAGATTCTCTCTGCGCGCTAAAATTTTGCAATTCTAAGTTTGTTCCGTTTATGTTGCGTATTTTTTTGTTATCACTTCACAACGAAATAATACCTTGATGTCGAGGTGAGCGACGTTTATAGAGTGGAGGAAGGCGATTCCCTCCAGGATCTGACGCATTAGCCTGGCCACGTCACGTTCTTCCAACATTTCGTCTCTGTCCAACAGACTTTGCAGTTCGCCACCAGAAACCCTGAAACAACACAAACAAGTTAAAATTTTGATGGTAGATGATAGTACTAGTGATCGTATTATATAGATTATAGTCGAAATAAAAAAAAGTACTTTAATGAACAATAGAGGGCTTTTATATTGAACTTTTTATCAGAAATTGATTTAATTTTACACACTTTCATTCAAATTGAATCAGATCCGAAAAGAGTGATGAAACTTTAAATGTCCATCTGAATCACAAAGAAATTTTCTAATAGAGCTAGAGATCAAAAAGGCGTGCCGTCAAAAACACGTCTCGTCGCGGAGGGTCCGATCAAACGCGCTTCCGTTCCCATGCTTTGTCAAGAGGAGCGTCTAATTGATTGGAGCACACCTGCGTCACGCAGAAGCTAGCTTGCAAATTCAACTCACATTTCTAGGAGGAGCACCATTTCCGCGTCCGACTCGAAAACCCTCTCGAGCTTGGCGATGCGCGGACACGAGGAACACGCCTCCAGGACGGCCACCTCGTGCAGGATTTCCGGCCTTAAGGTGCCGCCACGACCTTTCTTCAGGAACTTGGCGGCGAACGTCTTCTTGCTGTGGCGATCGATGCATCGACGAACCGCGGCGAATTTTCCCCTACAAAACAAATAATTATAAAAAATTAATGATACCATAGTAATCAATCAATTGCAAAAAAATTTTGCCTTGCCAGTTCAACTTATTGCGGTTTATTAAATAAGAAATTTTTCTAAATATCGTATAAAATATCATATAATTCATTGTTTTCTGTAATTGTAAATTTGGATAAGAATATAACCATTAATTTTTTCTAATAAACTTTCTTATATTTTCAATTTTTAAAGTTTAGTATATGATATTTTAATTTATGTAAAACTCAAACGAAAGGTTATTTCCTTATTTGGAATACCGACTTGTAATAAATTCCAATTTAACTGTGCATTTTTTGCAATAAAATCCATTAAGAGAGGAAGTTGCTTATCTCTTTTTATCGCGTTAGAAATGACCATATGCAGCTATAAAACTAGCGGAGTGAAGAGTGATTCTACGTTTTTTTTTCGCTAGGTAAAATAAATTACAGTATAAGATATTTTGCAATTTCATAGGATGGGTGAATTAGGCGAAACAGAAAACATCCGGCGCTCTTCCTCTCCCCGTTACATACTAAGTGCCCGTTTATTTTTTCATATTAATTCGCTCGTCTGCAGATGCGATCAGATTTTATATAAATTTTCCTGGTTATGTGATTTTCACAGTCGATGAGCAAGAAAACTGGGCTTTGCATTATAAAGGGACTGCATTCCGCAACTGCAGAATAGAGAAATCGCGGTGATGCTCTCATCCAAGGAAAGCATCATCAGAGTTACGTTGCTCGGAATGCTAATTGCATAAATGAGAATCAGAAAGAAAATTCTCACATCGATCATGCTCTCAAGTACATATAGATGATTCGAATTAATGCGCCAGATTATAATTTCAAATCATTCTGCTCACATAACTTCTCGGGTGGAAAAAAATGAGCTGTGAACCATTTGTTCGCATTAACAATTGAAATTTATTGCAGTCTCTTTTCCGAGCCACACCTTGTTTTAAAACAACCTTCAGGAATTCAATTAACGAGAAAACCACTGTTGAAATTTCGTGCTAAATCATTCATTTGAAAAGTATGCAACACACGCGAAAAACAAGGAATCTATCAACTCTCAATTTCGTCTATTCTTTAGCAACTCTGTTTAATAAATTAAGAAAATAAACTTGATGATAAATAACATGATAGGACTGACATTTAATTAAAATATATATAAAAATTTCTATATATAGATTTCAAAAATTAGGAAAGCATTGTAACATTATTAGAAGGATAAACTCAATTAATCTTTTGCACAGTCGTATTCAAAAGAGAGAGAAAACAATAGGTGTTTTTAAATTTCTTTATTTCTTTTAAAGAGGATTATTCCAATTATTTTCCAACAATCAACACAAAACTGGTTAAAATTTTAATCTTGGGTCAAATGTACATTGTTTATCTAAACCCCAAATTTAAATAAAATCTCACTTATAAATTTCCCAAAATATTCCAAAATTACTACACCATTGTTTTTTTTTTTTTTTTTTTTTTTAATAAATAGTAAATATAAATTTAAATGCATTCCACATTTTATCTTTCTCATTAGCACTTTAATTTTAATTTAATGCGTTTCCAGGGCATAAATTAGCCCGAGTGATGCGAGGTGATTTTCCGCATGAAAAATCGGCAATTATCCCGTCCTTGACCTCTGAGCGACGATCGCTGAATACTTTTATTGCCGAAAAGGTGCGTGTTTGCAAATTCGCCCGAAAGCATGCTGCGGAATTTTCTGCGCGCCCCGCAGTCACTCAGCCGCGACTTGAAACTCCTGGCGTCACACGAATTTTTTCTCCATTACAAATAATGATAAACGTCGCATTGGAATATTATGTATCAAGAGCGCGCGTGTTATTTTTTCTGGTCGTTGACTGAAGGAATGCAGCCGAGCCAGTCGCACTTTGCTCTCTTTCGCGGCGGCGGCGGCGGCGGCCACTCGCATTCCTCCTTTCAAAAATCGCTGCCTGCTTCTTTCTTTCTCCGAGAGCAACTCGAGAAATTCACCAGCGGTTGCGTGGCGCGACCATCAATAAATTATTTTATACCCGCGCTGAATCACTCGCGAGATTTCAATGCGTAAGTGACACTCTCTTGTCGCACACTCATCGCCTCTTCAATTACGCGTCCAGGCATTGTTCCAGCAATTTATTCTCATCCAGTAAATTTGAACGGAGGCCAATTTCCGATGAGATGTCGCATGATGACTTCAGAAAACTTCCCACTTTGAATAATTTTTTGCTGGGTGTTCTGTTTATTTTCTTTAAAAACTGATTTTGCTGAAATTTTTGATCAAAATAGGAATGAAACTTTAACATCTGCAAATTTTAAACGCTTTTGGCTTATTCTCCTTATTAATTTTTCGGAAATGATTAATTTTAATTCTTAAATATTTCTCCTCAAAATATTTAACAAAAATGTGTGAAACAGTCATTTTTGTATTAGTTTTAGGCTTTCATGAAAAAATAATGATTCAGCAGTTTTTTTATCATAAAATTACTTAAAATTGCATGAATTATGCTTTATATTTGAATTGACGACTTTCAACAAACACTAACAAGCATCAGAAAAAGTGTTCATTTTGGAAATGATTTTTTATTTAGCTGATTCAATCACATCTTTGACCTGAACTTTAAAATTCTGTTTTTTATACTTGGTCTTGCGATAGATTCCGTCAGATTCCGTAAGAAAAGTGATTTTTTTAAATATAATCTAGCAATGAGCATAACAGCATAAGTTTTTTTCTGTGGAATTTTCTTCTGTCATGCAATTGACCAAGATTGACCAAGATGAGAGATATTCCCAATTTATTTATGATGTTTTTTGTTCAATAATCACAAGCGGCATTCCGCAAAATATCTGATTTGCCATAATTTCCATTAAAACGGACACAATACCATATATAAATTCCTGCCGACACGGAATTCCACATTTGAACTTTTTATGCCCGATAAATTTACATGGGCATGTTTGTGTGTAATGCTCGCATTTTTCTCACGCCATATGAAAATAGCCTCGCGCAGGTCGATACTACCAGAATAAAAATTCTGGGAAAATCTGCTTCTTTGGCCAGCGACGCTTTTGAACTCATGCCACGAATACACCATGAATTATTTATATACAAAGTGGTCTGATTTGAATAAAGAGCCGCCGGTCACCGCACCAACGAATTAAAAGTTCTGCAATTTTGCTAATTTCTCTTCTTCATCTTCGACAGACGGCGAGAGTGCAAATCTCGTTTGTTGACGAGAGAAGTTTCACTGCTGTGCACATGTGTTTTTGTCTGTCAGAGATCACATGTGACCCACAATGCAATGGCCCGCTGGCGAGGCGCAGAGAAAGAGAGCCTTTTTCATTTTCCCTGCCGCGAGCTCGGAGATGATCAAAAATTCACAGCAGACAGCCCTTAAATAAATCACGCCTCGTCTAATTAAAATCAAAAACACGAGAGAGAAATCCGACTTTTATTGTGTCTCCCCGACAGTTTTGGAGCTTTTACGCGCGCCTATTAATTTTTATAAATGCACCGGTTATTTTTTCATTCATCTCCGCGCTTTTATTGATTGTAAAAAAAAACTGATGCCAGAATTTATGGTAAGTGAAAACTAATGAAAGTGCAAATTGAGAGAGATGGGATGACAGAAGCTTTCTATTGACATTGGCTTGATATCTCTGTCCAGCACCTGAAGCATTTTGAGGACCTTGCAATTTTTATTTCTCAAAAGATTTCGCTTATCTTTTGCATTATGTTTGACTTGTTTTAATAAAGGTTTCCCACTTTCCGCGAGCTTGAGAATTTAAATTTGATCAAGGAAGCTAGTAAATATGGTTTTGGTTTTTTTTTTCACTTTTTATATATTCAAATTTATACAAGAATCAATTGTATTTTTTTGGCTCCAAAATATGAAAGATCACTTTCTTATAATAAAAAATAAGTTTTAATTCAGTCAGTGAAAAACTACTCTTTCTTTTTTCTTTTCAACACAAAATTTTTCCTGCCGGATTTGTCTTTGGAAACTAGTTTAATTTGTTATTCAATTTGCATACATTGACCTCTGACAATTGTTGAGAAGCGCCGACGACTTTCTTGTCAACCGCAATCAGCGCAAAAGGTCATTCAGGTCTCTTTTCAGTGTCAGATTTTCTGCTCAATTTGAAGCGAAACGCGACCACGAATCGACTTGCACATACAATTTGGTCCCGAACTCGTTTCACGCGAGAAAGGAGAGGGAGTGAGAGAGGACAAAGGAGACCCTTTTTTTCTTTCAGGGCTTATTCAAAAATTTTGATTCGCGTTCCCAAATTGTGATGAAATTGAAAAAGAGAACAAAAAGTGGCTGCAAAAATTGTCTTCCGCGAAAAACAAGATGCCGGTATGCAAAAGAGGAGCAGCTGTTGCGGAGGCCTGGGGCTTCACCTGACCTACTTGGCCCCCTCCCTCCCCCTCGCGCTCAGGTCAGCGCGTCTGGCGGCTGCATTAACCTCGCTCGCTTGCTCAGGCGACTGCTCTGCGAGAGACTCAATTGGCCGCAATTGGAAAATAATGCATTACCACTGAGGACCTCGTTATTTGTGTGTGTGTGTTGTACTGCCCAACGCCAGCCACATAAATAATCCAATAAAATATATAAAGTCAACAACACACATGTGGTCGCTCGCTCGCCTAATTCTGTCTCGCGCAGCCACACCTGGTGTTGCATGTCATTTGAATAAACTTGCAGCTTAACGAGATCGTTCACTTTTCGTTTTTTATGTATTGCGACCTGTGTTTGTTTCAGTTGGGACATATTCCAGTAAGAACACGTTTTTGTTATGCGCCTTTCGAAATTTTTAAGTGTATAATTTTATATTCCTCGTTATTTTCATGATTGAATGGGAACATTAATACCATCAATATGCAAGTGCAAACATTAAAAGAATGAAGATTTCACAACTTTCTGAGAGGGATTCCAAAGATTTTCAGCTTCAGCAATAGTTTCTCTCTGCAAGAATGAACAAAATCTTTAATTGTCTGATCGTCTCAAGATTCTATTCTATTTAAAGATTGATTCCTGATTAATTTTAATATTCATGAAATTATACACTACATGTAAAAATGCACGGGCAAAAAGAATTTTGAAAGTTAATTAAAGTTCCATTAATTGACGAAATTCAGTTGAACTGAGTCAAAGTATGAAAAATTACTATTTGATTTTATATCCTGAAATGCATAATTTCCTTTTGCCACTATAAATTAGTACAATATTTGAGGATATTTTTTTCTGTTTCAAATAAGAACCAGAGAGGAAAACAATTAACGATTTTTGATTCAAAATTGTGTCTTTTAAGTCAATGTTATTGGTAATTATAAAAATAATATGAAAACGAAAGAAAATAATCTCCTGGGTCACCAGAGAAAACGCTATTTTGCCAATTAAACCTGTCCTTTTTGTGAGGAATGAGTAGAAAAAGTGTGATTCCATCTTGAAACCTAATCAGCGTGCTTGTTTACATTCCAAACATAAAACTTTTGAGCGTCCCCAAAACCTGCAGCATCCATTTTAAATTAGCCGCAACAAATCTCATTAACTCTGCGCGGCCAAAGTAGACTATGAACCTGGTGCTCAAAAACGGCAGATTGATATCGAGCCAGAATTGTGGCACACCTAGTGTGTTTTATAGAACGCGCGGCTTAATAAGAGACTTGCGTTGTAAAGATAAGAAGGCAAGGCTGTCAATCGGAAAGAGCGAATTCTTCAGTGTGACTCACGGAGAGTTTTTTTATCACACCTCCGCGCGTTAATTCCCCAATGACAAACTAAACCAACAAGAAAAATTTCCCTCGACTTTTGCCTTATTTCTTCAGAAAAATTTTATTGCTCTTGTCCAATTTGGCAGTCAAATTATACCGGCGGACCTTTTTTTATTTATCGCCTGTGATTTTTCCCACAGACAATAATGAGATGTGAGCCGCATATTTAATGTGTTTGGGTGCGTCGGGTGATTCATTCATTGGCAGCAAGTCTAGCTCATTGCCACGGCTGATGCAATGTTTTATCTTTTTTCTTTAAGGAAACTGTTAATTGCGTGCGATTTACCTTCGCTGAAATAAACATAATAGAGTTTAGTCAGCAAACATAAACTCTGTGTGCTGCGTCCTGATAAACCCTATAAATAATAATAGTGCGCACTTGCGAAGGACTCGCACGCGAGCCACCGCGAAGCCATGATTCCATTGCATTTTGGATGCCCTTTATCTCATTGTCTGTGTTGTTTTTGATAAGAAAACGGATAAAAACTCTGGGATTTTTGGAATCTAGTTCAGCTGAAAATATAAGACAAATTTTCACACTTATCTTGCAAACCATTCTTAATCGACCAGTTTATACCTAAAATTGATTAACCTTCATTCTAAATTTGAGCAATCTTGTAATTAGGACGTGCAAGCAGCGAAAAATTGTATTCTTTTAACCGGCCAAAGTTGTAAAACCACAAAATGATGTCATATTTAATCATTTAATGACATTCGTTTCAGGCAATTAAAACGAAAAATAACAATAAAATTTGCTTTATAAATAACGTTAAAACAAATTGTATTAATAGAGCTATATTTTTAATATTTTATAAATTTAAAGAGCTGAACACTCATTTTAAATATTTTGTAATTTCTTTTCTTTTTTGATAGTCTGATTGTTCGATCCCTAGCGAATTTCCTTGAATTCACAGTTAATGAGAGTTTCTTTCTTTCTTTCTCTCACCCTCTTTTCCTGTTTTTCGATTGCGTGAATCGATCGCATTCATCCGGAGATCAAATTTATTTTCATGTATCTGTTTCGAAAACGGATTCTTGGCGTGGCGGTTTCGTTCTGCGTGCACTTGAGTTTGTATCCTGAAGTGCTGTGGGTGAATGGGATTAAGGCGCGGATTGAAACGGAGCCAGCGAGAGAAAAGCAAGGCCGCTGTAGAAAGGAATTTCCATCTCAGTCAGCGCCGCGGCGAGAGGGAAAAAAATCCAGCAGGCGGATCTGGTGTACAATATCAAGTAATGCACGCATCGCTCTTGGAATAATATGTGCTCTCAACGATTTATACAAATATTTTTTTCACCTATAAAAAAAAACGTTCATTTAGGACACACACGGCGTTTTCATCGATTAGAGACGTTTTTTGCTTCGCCGCGTGTGCTAAATTCTCATTTGAATTATCTTCTTGAAGAAATAATTTGTTGGGCAAACAGCATCACCGTGATAAGCAAAACGATTTTTGATGATCTCACGCGAAGGCAAATTGCGACTTAAATTCAAATAATGGTAGTTGGCAAGCTTGAAACAAGCAATTTTTTATAAAATTATTTTAAATGCATTAAAAAAATTAGGACATAAGGCAAATACTTAAAACAAAAGCAATTTTATTGTGTCAAATAAGACTTTTCTTGATAATTTTTATCAGTATCGAAGATGATGAAATTAACAAAACAGGTAATGATCAAAGAAAATTAATTTTAGAACCCCTTCATAATTATTTATTTTTCTGTTCATATTCTGCGTCGTCATTATCCACTTAAAAAAAAGATTTGCATTAGCCTACGTTAGGTACTCTAGGTACTTAGTAAAGTACTGCAGGCTTTTCTTCCTTTCTTTTTGTCCCTTTATTCTTTTCAATATGCACGAAATAAAAAGTACAGTTAAGCTCCGGCGACGACTTTGTGCTCGGGTGCTTTGCAAATTTTCTGGCTTGATGTTGATGTATTTTTTCGTGCCTTGGCGGAACATCTGCGCGGCTACTGCATTTCATTAAAAATACAAATTTGGTCTCGTAAAAACGAACAACGGCGCGCGCGTGATCCGAATTCGTAATGAGTTTCATGAATTATCAAGGGGAATAAATAAAATATATTATGTGACATAATTCAAAAGAAGCGGTTCGATTTGAATACAATCGTGCGCTAAAAAAGCACTAGCCCTTTTTTAGCGTTTTATTCCCAAGGAAAATTGCATTGTGTTCGGCGGTTTGATTTCGTCGAGTTTCACAGATGGATATAAACCGCAGGTCAGGACGCGAAAATATTGTTCTTGATTGGGTCAAAGTCGAGCAAATAAAAAACATATATAAATAAAAGAGGCGGATTGTTGAGTGGGTTGGGAACATGTGTTGGCAAACAATGAAAGCAGGGGATTATCTTGAACAAGATCTGCAAAAAGCGGATTGGAAATTTATTTGTAATTGAGAAAAGCCTCAAATGGAAACTTGGTTTGCAATTATTCAAAAGTTGTTTCGCTTGCAAAAATGGTGACCTTCGAGTTTGTCATCGAATGTATTCGTTAAATTATAAATTTTCACCGCAAAAAAATGTATTTGAAAATTCAACACTATATTTTACATTCAAATTGAATTGGAATCAATCGCGTGATAAAATTCACTGTAAAAATTGTAAATAATGTCGCTCGTGATGTGCACCCAGAGGCGCATGCATCAATTGTGGCACGAAAAGTGCATCCTTTCCACTTCCGTTTTTTCTGTTTCGCAGACCTGCATGCGAGAGCTGTCTAATAGAACGAGAGATGTGCCGTTTTTGTTGCCCAAGAGCAATTTAATTAAAACATCTTCTCGTCCGCGCCGACATGCAATCATTGTAATGTAGTTTCGAATTTTTCACCTGCAAATCAGGAAACAAGAGGAAGAGAGCAGAGCAGCCGCCGAGAAATAAAAAGCAGTCATGCAATCTAACTGTACGCAATAATTGCAAATGTCTCTCGCCGCCAGACCTGCTTAATTACATTCGGCTCTTTTTAATTAATAATAATAGTCATTACAATCAAAATTTTCATGCGGAAACTCTCAGTTTTAATTGACTGAAAATTAATTCTTATCATAAGAAAATTTCGTTTCTTATTTGTAGGGTTGGGAATAATCTATGGGGATAAAATGAGATTGTATCTTGTTATTTGCATTTTCAAAAAATGTCAATTTTAAATGTTCAAAAACAGATCTCTGAGAATTTTCAAGCCCCCAACACTAAAAATATTTCAGTTTCGTCGAAAGATTACGTTCAATTAATGAGGTTGGATAATGTAACTGTATTGAAAAAGCAAAAAGTTAAAATTGAATGAAAACAATTTTTTGGCCAGAGAGCAATGTGTCAGAAGAGTCATGCTTTGAGGGGGAAAAATGATATAAAAGTAGCTCGATTTTGCTTACAATTGCGTAGTTGAAGTGGCATTTTTTAAAGTTGACTTTTAATCGAAGCGGTACTGATTTGAGTTTCAAGCAAGTTAATGCTTGAATTGAAAGCTGGTGTGCGATATAAAATTATAACTTCTAATAAACCACTGCGTGGAAAGTTCCGGCAGCTCTAAATTAAATCAATGCTCAATAATTTCACGGTTCGCTTCATTTTCTCAACCGCAAAAATTGTCTTGGCTGCAAAACCGGCTGGCGCCATCACCATATAAACTTGTTCTTTTCTTTCTTGGGCAGCAACGACTTTTCCAATTGTCACTACGCGGCTCCGCCGAAAAAATTACATATAAGTATCTCACGTGTGCTAAAAAACCATCTGCCAACGGACAAACAGCATAAAAATGCGGAAAGAGCATTCAATCTTTTTTTATCACTCTGGCAAGTCATGACTTTATTTTTCTTCAATACGTGCACTGCTGTAAAGAAAAGAGCCTGGCCAAGAAATGGCATAAAAGAATAATTTATCGCGCACGACTCCTTCTTCTCGCGCTAAAGGTAACGGTACCCTGGCTGTCCGAGCGACCCTGATAAGCCGGCCCCAGGTGCGTTTCTATTTTTTTTTTTTATCTTTTTTTCGGTAAACATACCTGGCGAAGGGTTCCTCTTCGACGTGGAAAGAGGCCTCGAGGGGCTGGTCGCTTATCAGCTGCTGCTCCTTGTCCAGGGGCAACCTGAGGAAGCCCGGCTGCTCGGCGGCCTGGACGCCCGGCGACGGCCCAACCATCGCGATTCACATCCGTCGGCTCAACACTGAAGACTGACTCTCGAGTTTGAGAAGTCGCTGCGGCTCTCGAGTGGAGGAGGTGCGCGCGCAGGTCCCTGGCTTAGGTTGTTGCCTCCGGGTCGCGGCTCAGGGCGCCCGGACTCGATTTTGTCAGGGTTCACCAACCAACCACGCTCGCTTTTAATGACTGCCTTGTACCTTTTTTCGGCGTTTTTCCTCCGCTCGCTACTTTTTTCCGCCCGTATATAATTGTATTTCTCACGTCTGTTGTTATTTTTCATTCTTTTTCTTGCGCGCCTCTGCCGTGGAATTATATATTTTCGCCGCGAGTGATTGAGCGCAATTTGTCCGGCGACTGTATTTTCTCGCGCTTTTGTCCAGTTTGTTTGCGAGGCTTTTTGCTCTCTTCCGAAATTGAAAGTAAGCGCGCAGAAGAAGCACTCTTTGTGTCCAATTTAGGAATGTGCATTCCGACGGGCAAAAAATCGAGACAGGGAAACAAAGTATGATAAAGTGCTTGATAAAGTGACGGAATGTTCACGAATAATATTTTGGTTTGCCGCGAGAGAAGCAAGTTTAGTTGCGGAATAATCTGCAATTCATGGTTTCGCGACACTTTTTCAAGAGGGGAATACGCAAGAGAGAATTTTAGTTAAAATAAACAAATGTCAGGACAAAAAAAATAATTGAAGAGAAAAATGGGCTTGTTCTAAAAAATGGTTAACATTCAAAACGACATTTGAACAAGAAATCCAACAATCAAAGCTGTTTTTTCATTCCCTGAACCCTGAATCATGAACGTTTCCATGAGTGTCATTATAATTTTTACATCTCTATAAATTCCTTTGATTTGACTAAAAAGGGGCTTTAGCAAAGCAAAAGAAGTTAAATTAAATTTGAAAAAGTGGTCCATGATTGTACTGAAATCTAAAAATTTCGTTCTAAAAAAAATTATTTTGATACAATTTACACACAAGTGTCTTCAAATAAAATTTGAGCCAAAAAAATGTGTTTTTCAAAAGTCTAATTCTGTGCTTTGAGTCCTCGCAAAGTCGTAACTTTCCTCAAAAGATAATCAGTGATAACAAGATAAGAGTCTTGTTTTTTTTTGTCAAGCGCTGACGTGCTTGCTATTTTGATGAAGAAGTGCTCATGTCCGTATTTGAAACCATCCCAAGTACGGTCTGCAATCAACCGGTGTGCGCGACTTATCGGCATGAAGTTTTCCTGTGTGTCAATGCCGCTGCAAGTACTGGAGTTGTAGCACCCACGGCTAGTGTAATCTCGACGTCATCTTCTATATTTACAAGTAGATTCTGCGAATAAGACCTTGCTTGCGCAACCAGAGCTGTTCTCGATCGCCAACAAACAAAGTAACACAGATCTGGAGCCGTCTTTCTCTCATGCTGCAAACTGCACGTTTGTCTCTATTCAGCATATCAAATGAATATAGCGACGAGGAGAGAGGATTTCAGAGTTCATAACCCGTTCTATCTGCGGATAAATTTATTTAAAAATATTTCAAATAATTAATTTCCAGGATTTTGAAGGCTTGATTTCATGTGATGCTTTTTGAAAAGGAAAGAAAAATGGCAAAAGAAAGGTTTTTTTTATCATTTTTATTTGTTTGTAAAATTATGATACTTTTTTGCTGTTTATTCAGAAAAACGTTGAAATTATAATAACAAATTAACTGTAACTCTTTGAATTTATATAAGAGCAAAGAACTTTTTACATATTCATAATAGTCATTTTTAAACAAGAAAATTATCTTTAGAAGTTGCTCTTTGTCTTCAAGTTGGGTTGGAAATATATTATTCTATTATTGGCCTCTTATCTTTCTCTACCTAAAGTTACAAAACCGAACAAGCAGCTAATAAACAAGAGCTTATTTCTTGTGGGAAAATGCTCTCTTTACAAGCGCACGTCTCGTAAAACGCAACATTTATTTGCCAATAATTGCGCGTTTATTTGGTAATAACGCAGAATTCATTGCTCAATTTAGTGCTAAAAGCCGTTTAATTCGCGGCGCAGGTTGTAATAATAATGCTAAGTTTTATTTTCCGCGGCACATTCAAGTTCTGGTTTTTGCGCCGATTCTGGTCTTAATTTGATGTTTCAATTAAACTTAAAATGCACAAGGTCGGCGCAACATCAGAAATGAGTAAAAACCAGCGCGCCTCAAAACGGCTCAATATAAAATTCCGGCCGGCCTTGAGCGTTTCGGCTTCGATTATTCTTGCAACCGACGCCGCCGCCGCCGCCGCTCCATCCTGCTCTCGCGATTTTCATTGCATCACATAAATATATAACACACTCGCAATACAACAAAATAAATTTCACGTATGAACGCTCCAAAGGGTATACAAAGGCGCAAAACCTCAAGCTTCGGAGTAAAAGAAAAAATCGAGAAAAAATGTATCAAATTTACATTTACCGCATTTATGCTGACGTGGTTTTTCATCCGGAATCATTTAAAAATTGAAACAAAATTTAGAACTACAGGCCAGTTGAATAAACTAAAGAATCTGAAATTCTTGTATAGAAATATTGATTTTTACCTTAAACCTAACCTGCAGAAAAAAATCAGTTTGTAAACTTTTTTATATATAAAAAAAAATGGAAAAGGATCTAATCATAAATTGTGTCTATTGATGCAATTTGAAGGTTTCTAAAAAAAAACATTACTAATTAACTAAAAAAATCCAGCAAATCTAATTTATAGCACTAATAGTCGCAATTAACGAGTATTTTTATATAAAAATTTTAATATTAATGTTTCTTACTTGGAGAATTTAGGAAGGTGCTTTGAATTTTCAGAGGGTTGAAAACTGAAATGTTTCTTACTTTTATCTAAAATTACTTGCCTTTCGTTTATAAACTTATAGATGAAAAAAAATATGTTTTATTGCAAAAGAACAAAAAAATTTATTACAATCTTTAGCCAAATTATGCACAAGTAAAAGGAAATCCAAAATTATAAACCAAACTTCTTCAAAGCCCGAAAAAGTTTTTGGTTAATTTGATTCCAAATTTCGATTTCTTTCACAAGATGTTTTATTAGGCATTTTCAAGCAATTTGAAAATTATTTCTCGGAAAATGCACGGAAAATGTTGCCAATAAAGTAATCACTTCTTCTATCTTGCAATGCAAATCAACCATTTTCGCAATCTTTTATAATTCAAATCGCACATAAAAATTAATGGTGCGGGCAGAGAACTCGGCAGTGCCGGCAGGAATAAATCACTCAATGCATTTTTTTCACGTGGCAGCAGAAAGAAGTCCCGCAAACACCGACGCGAGATCACGACGAATTTCTCCTGGCGCCGCTAATTGGCTGCAGGCAGCAAAAAGTGCAGTCGTGAGAGATGCACCGTCGTGACTCTCGATTCCCGCGAGATGCATTTTTTTTGCTTTTTGCGGCGCTGCTGCTGCAAGGTCGTTCAATGCATACATATATTCGGAGAATAAATAAAACGGGCATTTGTTCCCATGCTGCGCTTGATCACCTTTTGGCCCCGGTCACGACGCAGGCAGGAGCGGCCGACCAAGTGCGCTGTGCATTTTTATAAGGGGCCGCTGGTCACGACGCACATCATTCACCACTGCACATATAATCGCGGCTATTATTTCACCCTAGCAGAATGAGAGGCACGACATAATGTATAATTTTCCAACCACCTTTCTTTCTTCCTTTCTAGCGAAAATTCCTAGATAAGTTTTCTTTCCTTCTTCGTGTGTGAAAGTGAATAATGCAGTCTAATGAATGCAAAAAAGATATACCGAACTGAGATGGATCGTGTTTGATACACTCTGATTGCAATGCGGAACTTTGAACTTATTGTGTTTTCAATTAATCACGGACAAACATTGAGATAAATATATTGGAACAAATTTTGTTCGTGTTGTAATTTTTCAGACTTTTCTAACTGACAATGAGAGAAAGAATTATCATGCTAAACATAATGAAACAAAATTGTTGATTATATGGTTTTTGTTAGTTTATTAAATTATTGATTTTATTGGTGATTCTAACTTTAAATTATAAAAAATAATCTATAAGCTAATTAAATGTTTGACAATATTATGCAAAAAAGATTCTTAAATTAAAACAATTAAATTTAAAGAAAAATTTGCTCTATCAGAATTTGTAGTAAAATCATATTATTTTTCATTATTATTGTTGTTAATTCGTCTACAATGTTACAAAAGAAAAATTATGTTGTGAGAGATGCAGCAAATCGTTGGACAAAAAAGGCAACACTGCTATCAAGGATTTTGCTAACATTTGCAAAATAAAAAAACTCCCCCCCATACCGCAATAAATTTAATATTTAATTTCAAAGTCTGATGGAGTGATTTTCAATAATGCTTCATTAAAATATTAAAATATTTATGAGAAGGCTCTCTTATTTTAATCTATTTATATAATTTGGTTTTATATAAATAATATGTGTTTTGCGGTTAAAGGGTGCAGCGTCTTATTGAATTCTCTTCCTTGTCCCCGGGGTTGATTTGCACGGAAGTAAGATGTGCTCCCAAATTTTGATGATTAAGTTCCCATGTGCAGAGTAAACCGATAATTCAAGCCCAAAGCAATCTTTCTCTCTTCCTTGGTCGCGGGCAAATTACAAATTGGTTTGCAATAAAAGACTACAATTATCCCAATTCAAAATAAAAATATCATTTTAGGATTGCATTTGCAGTCGTTGAAATCCCATCCATCCATTTCTTCGCCGCAGATGAGAGAATATTAAATTTTACTGTGGTATTGTTTCACTTTTCAAAATGACCTGAGGCCGCCGAATTCGCTTCTTCTTAATTCAAACGCGTGCCGACGGCATAATATTGGATGCTGCGTGTTCACAACAACAACTGACGTAACCAAAGAATCCGGAAGCACCAACGCATGCAGACGCATCATTTCACTTTCTCCTCTCACCGACCGACCGACCTTGGTCGCCGTGGACCAACGGCGCCGCCGACCAACATTAATTTGGCGCCTGTACGCTCCATTTCCAGACT